TTATTACAAGCTTTTATTTAGCTTGCGTTATGTAAATAAAAGTATGTAGGTATGTTCGTATGTTGATGCAATTATCCTCAATCCTCAACCGACTGGGATAAAATTTTCCATACACGTTTATTTTGGATGATAGTGCATAGTTAGCTGAGAGTCGTCATTGGATAATAATGGTGGATAGCCTAAGATGTGTACTAGATATTTATTTTTAACATAATATGCGTAAGTACCTAATCGAATTAAAGAAGTTGCTGAGAAAAATACAGAACAATACGATAATAAACTAGCGTCTGCGTTTAATCCTCCGAGGAGATGTAATTTTACAAAGGTTTTTTGTATTTATTTTATTATTTTTTTAATAAATTTATTGTAAATAACAAGAAATAATCATTGTAAAAAAATAGGCACTCTATTGTTGAATTTTCGTCAGACCAACTAATCATCGTTCATTTTTTTAGGTTCAATGGGGAGACCTAAAGATTTACGCATATGGGAGCACTACCGTACTTTACCAAACAAGTCTGTTTCTTGCAAGCTTTGTAATAAGGTCTACAAATTCAGTAATGCTGCCAAAATGCTTCAACATCTTATCACTTGTCCAAAATCTCCAGAAACATTAAAAGACTCTATGAAACTTATAAAAGATAGCTCGTCCAAAACCAAAATGTCTGGACTGTCAGAGATAGAGACAAATGATTCTTTTATAAGCCCCTCGTCGTCTGCTAACACTACAATAAATGCTGAGTTTCAAGACACCGATGATCATATAAAAACAGAATTAGCGAGAGCTATATTTGTAACAGGGACGCCATTATCGATGGTGCAACATCCTTTATGGATACAATTTTTCGAAAAATTGCAACCAAAATTTAAAATACCTTCACGTAAAGCTTTAGCGACAAAATACTTAGATAAAATATATAGAGAAATGCGTTTTGAGTTAAATGAGGAACTAAATGCTTGTAGTTACTTACACCTTCAGTGCGATGGCTGGTCTAATTTAAGAAATGAAGGAATAATAAACTTTCTTATATCAAAACCTCAACCTGCATACGTTAAAAGTTTGAATACAGAAAGTAATCCTCACACTAGTGAATACCTTAGCCAAGAAGTTGAAAAAGTAATGAAAGTGTATGGAGCAAATAAGTTTCTTGTACTTATTGGCGATAACGCTAGAAATATACAAAAGGCATTCGAATTAACAAAACTCAAATATCCACATGTTGTTCCTCTCGGTTGCTGTGCACATATCCTTAACTTGTTGTGCCAAGATATTGTAAAGATACAAGAAGTAACTGTGTTTATTATGCAAGCCATAAATATAATAAAAATTGTTAAAAGGAGTCAACGATTAAGTTCCTTGTTGATAAAATCAAGGCAGGGTGAAGATTCTACACAAACACTAAAATTGCCTTGTGCTACAAGATGGGGAAGTCATGTTACTTCGTTAAAAAGTTTGAAAGCAAATAAGATAGCTTTGCAAATATTAACAGTTAGAGAAGATGTGGTAATTTCAAGAGATATTAAAGATTTAATTCTAAGTGATGATTTCTGGACGAAGACAGGGGAATGTATAAGTATTTTGGAACCAGTCACTGAAAGCATATTTTACTTAGAGAGCGACCAGAATCGTTTGCATCGCACATACATTACATTTAGAGATGTACAAGCTAAGATACGTTTTGCATTAAATGAGATTTCGACATTGAGCGAAGAAAGCAAACAGCAGATTCTAACATCAGTATCTTCAAGATGCAATATGGCAATGAGGCCAATACATTTTGCAGCATATATTCTAGACCCCAGGACTCTAGGAGTCGAACTTACTCAAGAGGAAGAACTTAAGGGTATGGAGTTTATCTACAATTTAAGCCAACACTTAAGTTTGTCAAATGTAATGGCAGATTTGGCGTGTTATAAAGCTAAAGAAAACTTTTGGGCCAGAGGATTTGTATGGAGCTCATTAGATAGCATTGAGCCCCTAATATGGTGGAAAGGTATTTGTGGTTCCACTGAGTTAAGCAAAGTAGCGATTCGTATTCTATCAGCTCCCTGTACTTCGGCAGCCACTGAGCGTTCCTTTAGTATCCAAGGCTACATACATAATAACAAAAGAAATCGACTTACAACTGAAAGAACTGAAAAAATTTCATTCATTTGTTATAACTGGAATCTTAAACATAAAGCTGAATGCGAGGACATTCAGTTTAATGAAGAAAATACCTTAGAAGCTTTCATTGAGCAAGTAAATGAACATAACAGTTTAGACGAAATAGAGCCTATCGAACCTATACAATTCATCGCTTGTAATAACTCTGAATCTGACAGTGATTGACTGTAGTTTTACATTTTACTTTCATCTCTTTCTTAATAAACTCAAAATCAAATTAAAAGTTTTTTATTCTGTAGGCTGCATAATAATATTGTCTATGTCCAGTATAGTGGACGTCTTGCGGCTGAGATGACGATGATGAAGTACAAAATCATAAACACCCAAAAATTTGGGTGTTTATGGGGTTTAAACCCAATAAACCCAAAACACCCGGTTTTTACCCACCAGACTTTAAACCCACCCAGGTGGATTGCCCATCTCTAGTGATAAGACGTCAGTTATGAGTTATCTATGAGTTATTTCTAGATAAAAAAAAGTGGCGTACCTTCCAGAAAGCTGCCCAGCCAAATTGAATATACTGGCTTCCCGGTCGGGCTTGGATATGAACGATTTAAGAAACAATACGAAATATTGCTATTGTTTATTTAATTTATACGGGCAACCAAGTCGAAACCTGCTATACCTACGTGTCCGACATGCCTTTAGCCGGTTCATACATAAACCTATAAACCGTGACCATTTTACTTTAAAATGTTGCCGTCACAAATTGTTTCTATAAAGTGTACCTGTATTTATGTAATATAAATGGACTAGCGTCTCTCATAATGTATTCCATGTGGATACTATCACGTATCCTTGGCGAACAGTACAGGACGCGACTAGCATTGTATTGGAATGTGTCTCCAACGACCGGCGATCATAACGACATTATATCAATAATACTAAATTGCAACAACATACATACTCGTCGATCGTTCATAATATTTGAGAAGAATAAGACAATTTATAGCTATTTTACTCTTTCTTTAATTGATTTCTTTATCTTTTAAGTTTAGTTTAAACATAAATTCAACCAACAACTAACTAAATTTTCTTTCAAAAACTCCCTTCGTGAACACCACTTCAAATCTGATAACAATGAAGAGCTTCCATCTATACTATTGTATGATTAGCCATGACTCATATATTTATTATATTAATATGTATAGTTATTTATATATGTATTGTATTGCATTAAAAAAATATGTGATTTATGTTTGTATAATTTTTGTAAGTATATCATTCTTTGTGTTTGTATGTTTATTTATCTTAAAATGTTGTTATTACTGTTGTTATCTCTCAAACTATTTATTTAATTCATAAATTGTTTTTGTTAAATAAATGTACCGCCATTTACTCTCTCTGTTTATCGTAACGGTTGACTGGTAGAGAATGCGATCAGGCATTAAGTCCATCTTGTAGACTTGTTTTAAATTGTGCAAAAATATAAATAAATAAATACTGGTCTAATTGAAGCTACTTTGATAGCCAGATGATGTATCATGATTCGTAGTGGCATCATGTCTAGTTAGACATCACCATAGAGGTGCAGTGACCATGTGCGAAGGTGCTGTTCGAGTGGTCCATACAACGGCCCTAATCATAAATTACATCACATCAAGCGTCTAAACAACCGTTACGCGAGACGAAGGGGAGGCAGTGGTTCGTGACCGCGTGAATGGGGTAGCTGAATGTACAGGAAGCCATAATGACTGACTGCACCGGAGTGCAAGGGCGTATTTGCGCGTGGATGTCCCGTGTACACCGTGTGAGCCGCCGCGTCGGCCGCTCACTTACCGTCACTGTCACGTCACCGTCACCGATCGCTGATGTCATATAGACATCTTTGGATGTTTGTTGACTCCCACTATGACTTTAGTTGTCAGCTGGCAAGCCGTTATTTTACTTTTTAAATTTATAATCACACTATTTTATATGTCCATGATCGTAATACTCACTCAATTGCTATCCACTCTTATGCAGAGCTGATGTGTTTGAATCATATATGTACGAGTATATCAGTTAGCTCTGCATTTCATTACTATCAAAAATGTTAACTTTTATTTGGCGACTGTCACCAATCGTAACCCCAAGTTCCTGTAATATTATATACTTACGTACTTTTATGGAAATATAGTCATAAAAACATTTGAGAAACTAGAAAACGTCTGGTGATTTTCTCAGCCGCTAATCTCAATTGTTTTTCTGAAACAAACTATCTCCAATCGGCTACGCCTGAACTGGGTAAGCTCGGTCATGGCAGCCAGTGATTTAATTCGATGTTTATTGCTCAAACCCGGCACTGGATTCGCACGTCCGTCCATTCACCGTTCGCCCCCTGCACGACGCCAGTTGGTCAACTGTCACTTATTGTCTGTTTAATTGATCTCTTGCGAAATGAACAATAGAATTGTATTCACGTGGAAAATCGAGTACTTCCATAACGGGTTGCGATTGCAATTTGCAACGCAACTAAATATACAGTACCGTCAAATTACCTCTTTTCCTTTGCAATTCTATAATATTCGGGCGAAAATTGACAGATGCATCCACGATGAATTTCACCGTTTCAACATTCAGTTCAATCATAGATATGAATTATTTATATGGAACCAATTATCCAAGATGCCAAGTTCGTATATAGGTACTTTATTTACTATGGAAAAGCGGCGATAAACAGGTTTCCTGGCGGGGATTCTTACGTCTTTATACAGAAAATATTATCGCAGTAAAATAATTTCAAGCGAAATTAAGTTTAACATTTTAGTAATTCGTCACCTACGATGTTACAATCGAATAGACAAATGTAAACTTATAAAAACTCTCCATAAAGAATTTTTCTTTTTTTTAGGGCCATCATCAAAACGGAATCACATTTACCAGTACAGAAGATCCAGTCAAGTTAGCGAAACCAATTCCCGACATACGTCTAGTAGACGGGCCGTCGATTCTAGCGGGGAGAGTACAAATTCTACATAAAGGCCAGTGGCGATCCGTGTGCACAAATTCTAGGAAGTAAGTATTATTTGTTATTTATTTTTATTAATGGTCCCCACTCTGTGTTATGCTGCACCCGAGGAGTTACAGCGCTGATTTACAGCGGGAGTCCTACGGGTGTAACTTAATTTAAATTGTTATTTTTATTAATTTATATTTTTCTTATCTTTCTTATGGTCATGAAGTTTGTATACTGTTTAATTCTGATTATAGAATCTGTTTATTTCAGTTGGACAATAAACGACATGGAGACGGCGTGTCGACAGTTGGGTTTTATGGGTGGTTCGTTCTACAATTGGATGGATCGGCAGCCCGGTCGTCGTGCGAGACTGTTATTCGAAGAACCAAAATGCAAAGGCACCGAGTATGACATATTTCAGTGCGACTGGAATTCCAGACAACTTGGCTCGGGAGTGTGCGACTACCATCCAGATCTGGGCATTCAGTGTCTACCGCATCATGACGATAATGAACTAGGAACATCTGCGCGACACTGGCGAGGAATTCGATTTGAAAACGCTGTGTACGAAAGAGTGCTGACGGCCACTAATACACTGTATGTTCCCACCTCCATGTCAAGGCTGGCGCATGTAACAATAAAAAACGCAGGACTAGGTAGAGGAAACAATGCGACTAGCGCTTTAGACATTATAGGGGTCCCACCTACCATGGAGGACATTGAAATATCTAACTCTGCTTTTAACGCTATAAATGTGACGTCACCCAACGCTCCAGTAATAATAAATAATTGCACGATACAAAACAATAGAGGTTATGGTGTATATGTGAACTCCACGTACGGCATGGCCAGGATCGAAAATTGCTTGATACATGACAACGGAGGCGATGGTGTCAAGTACGTGGTTCATGAGATGAATATTGATGAGAGATTTGATAGAAGCGAAGTTTTCGACCTATGTACACTGGCTTCTACTCCAAGCCAAACATTCCCAATACAAATGTCTATAGAGCAATCTCGATACTCAAACATGGCAAGAGATTGTAGTCAGAAATTTTATACTAGATCTGACCACGTTCTTACTTTAAGCTTTATTAACATTATGACTAACCGCAACTATACAGGGGAAATATTTGTTTATGACGGTTTAAGTACAGAAGATAAGTTATTGCTGTCGTTTAGTATAAGAAATTACACACGACCGCAAAGTGTTACATCCACTAGAAACAGAATGTTCGTGAGATTTCGAGCTGATACTAGAACTGATATTGTAGGTTTTCTACGATTAGTATCAGGCGTCACTAAAACATACGATTTGAATGTAACAGACACCATAATATCTGACAATAATGGTAGAGGCGTAGTCATTGAAAATCTAAGATCACAAATTCATATTCATCGTACGTCTATATCTAATAATAACCATGTCGCTGGTCTTCAAGTTGTGAGTGGGGCAGGCGACGTTAATGTAACTGAGAGCAGAATATCATTCAATCAAGGAGACGGAATTAATATAACGGTGACTGGGGGCAATAGAAACATATCAAGAAGCATTTTAAGCTCTAATCAAGGTTATGGTCTTGCAGTATGGCTAAATAATACTAAAGAAACTGAATACGTACCAATCAATCAAACTACGGTTATAGAGTACTCTGAAATATTTAAAAATCTTGATGTTGGTATACTACACGGAAACTACTGTGGTGATAGTTGGCTCAATATTACTGGTAATTGGTTCAATACAAGCGTCGAAAGCACTATAGACATATCCACATGCTGGAGATTTAATAACCCATCTAAGTTGCTTCACTTACAAATAGGACACAATAGATTTTATCAAAATCAGAGAGTCCCGTTGAAAATTCAGCCAGCTTTAAATATCCTTGGTAAAATTGAATATAACTATTTTGAGCATGGAAATTATGGCGCAATAGTTATAATGAATCGAATAGAAGGGAAGTATTTAGAAGAATTTGAAATTCTGCCGGCAAAATTTAGTATACAACATAATTATTTCTTCGGTAATCGAGGTCCATTTGTAGTGAATCTTGGATTGTCGCCCTATAGTGATATTCAGTATATATTATTTACCAGAAATTATTTAAGAGAAAATAAGGTAAGGGAGGCCTTCGAGCCTCTGGAAGGTATAGCTTCTCGATTGACGCCCCGAAGCAGAGTAGCGGCAACGATAGTTTTGGCTTCGAGTAATATTGATGTCTTCAGAAATATAATCAATAACCCAGAAGCTCAATATGAAATAGGCTCTCATGTTGAAGATCAGAGTAAAATTTTGAATTGTACGTATAATTGGCTTGGCTTTGGTGAAGAAGAAAAGGTATATAATAGACTATTCCATAGAAAAGACAGATATAATTTAGCTAAGATTATTTATATGCCTTATTTATTACATAGTAGTAACCCTGGAGCAACACAGATCAATTATAATTCACTGTATGTTCCGCAATTTAATGTGCCAGGAACATTTGTTGTTGGAGGAGAAGTGGAGGGTATAGAAATACTCAGACAAGGAGAATATGACGTTGATAAAGATATTAATATCCGGCCAGGAGGTAAACTCATTATTCAATCCGGCGTGACTTTGAAATTTCCTCCTGCGATTGGAATGATAGTTGCAGGAAAACTTGACGCTAGAGGTAAACGACCAAACGATATAACGTTTACGCTCAAAGATGAGATAATTATGAGCAATGACAGTATTTATGAGACTGATACAGAATTCGCCCCAACCACCCCTAGTTACTCAGAACCCATTGTTCCTATAAGACTTCTGGGAGGAAGAACACAACATGAAGGCAGATTACAAGTTAGAATTGATGATAAATGGGGCACTGTGTGCAATTATAGGTGGAACATCATCAATGCTGCTTTAGTTTGTAATCAACTTGGCCTTGCTTTAAACCCAGATGACTGGTACTTAGAACCCAATGAAATACCATCTGCAGGTGTTACAGAAGATATAATTTTGTCAAATGTAGAATGTACTGAATTAGATAATGATATTACAAAATGTAAAGCAGAAACTAGAAATCACTTTGAAAATTCCTGTACTCACGAAAATGACGTCGGAATAAGATGCTATGAAACTAGTTGGGCCGGAATTAGATTCAGTGTAATTTCAGAAAGAACTGACTTACAATATGTGACTATAGAAAAAGCCGGTCTTTTAGATTATTCGTCTAATGCTTTTAAACCAGCACTTCAAATGGATTTTTCTCGTCATGGCTTAGAAAGTGTTAAGATAATAAATAATTACCATGATGGACTTGGAATCTTATATTCAGATTTATATGGATCTGACGCTGTAAATACTGTTAGAAATTCAGAGTTCAGTAATAATAGAGGAAGCGGTATTAGTTTTAAGCAGCTAGGTCTAAAAGTTTATGGCTCAGTAATTGAAAATAACAACATTGCAGGAATTTCACATAATCCTCATTTGACTGCTTTACAGCAGAGAGAATTAGCTGGTTGGTTCAATTTAGATCCTGGCTTTAATGTGGACGAATTTAACTATCAACCGATAATGATTCCTGAATACGAAACTGATATTAGTTTGGTCAATGGTGAAACAAGACATTTAGTTTTTACTAAACGTTATGGAGAAAACAAAATCAAAACATATAATATCAAATGCAACCCAGGATATGTACTTGGACTTCAGCTTTTAAATCCGATACATAATTTCTCTACAGAGAGCATTTGTATCTATGATTCTCAAAATATTAACGAAGGAAGTACTAAATGGTGTCTTGATCGTGACTTATCAACATTTCCAACAACCAGCAATAGTTTTGGAGTAGTGTTGGTATATGAAAGTGGTGTCGCAGCGCTCGGTGGCGTAGTTTTAGTCGTGAGTGCAATTACTGCACCAGTACAAAATCTTCGCAATAGAATCGTGAAAGGACCTGTACCGATATTGCAGGTTGTTAATTCAAGAATAAAGGGAAACACCAAAGGTATTAAGGCACTTTACTACAACCGTTACTTAAATGAACTCGGCGATCACTTTCTACGAAAGGCAAATGAAAGTATTAAGCTATTTAATTGTGAGATAGCACACAACAAAGAAGAAGCTGTGTATGTTAACACTCCGTTTTGGGACATTCATGATAGCAATATTACTGAAATTACCATAATGATCAACAACAGTTTGATTACAGATAACGGAAAAGGAATTTATCATTTCGCTAGAGATTTGAGGAGTTCAAACAATTTGTATCATTATATTCTGCAAGATAATACTATAGAGAGAAATAAGTTTGGAGGGTTCGATGTCGCCTTGCCTTATGCGTGGCAATACAACGAAAATTTTACACATTCTGTTTATATGCATAATAATACGTGGAGAAACAATTATAATTTTGCCTTAGTGATAGACGGTCATTTTGCTGAAGTTAATATGACAAGAAACATATTTACAGATAATAATTGCAAAACTGGTCTTGTGGCGATTAGAGGAATGGAAAAGAAGATGAAAATTGAGGGTAATTTGATTGAGAGAAATAATGGACAGTTTATGGTGCAGTTTTTCATGGACAGTCAAAGCGAAATTATGGGATTGGTGAAAGCGGTTTTTTCTTTCAATCAAGTTAAGAATAATAGAAATTCGGCTACTCTGGTCCGTAGTTCTTTGATGAGACGTACAGAACCAACATATGTTGTAGGTTTTAAGGGAATACAGAAAGTAGAAGTTAAAAGGAATTTATTTGGAAATAACGATTTGTCATACACCCTATTGGCTGGTATTAAAACAGCGAAAATCAATAATATTTTATATGTCACTGAAAATTGGTGGGGTAGTACGGATGAAATGCAAATTAAGAAACAAATTTTTGATTTTGATGACTGGAACAATCACGCAATTGCCAACTACTTGCCATATCTACTCGAAGATAACTTTGATTCGAGCCTTTCAGCGACATTTAGCCCTGTGACAGATGTAGACACGAATGAGCTGGGAGGGCGTTTAACTTCTGATCTTACATTGGAAGGTCGTATTGCTCCATACATAGTCAGAGGTGATATTACCGTAATGCCTGATGTAAAACTGACTATCAATCCAGGTGTGATATTGGAATTTGCACCAAATGTTGGTATATTGGTAATGGGAACACTTTATGCGATCGGCAGCAGCCAGACGCCAATCATAATGAGACCACTAACTCCTTCAACTGACAGTGAAATAAACAGAATCGAAAAACGAGAAGTCAGTCAGTACTCGTTTATTCGTCACAAACATAAAAGACAATTAGAAAATTTCATAGTTCAAAATTCTATAAGACTGTGTACCGGCAGAAACTGCACAATTAACGATAATATAGTAGAACGAAACAATGAAGGGTTTTTGGAATATTACAATCGGACAACACTTCAGTGGGTTCCGATGTGTGATAATCGTTTTACTGAGAGAAACGCTCAAGTGGTATGTCGTGAGTTAGGCTTCGATCCGATAAATGTATTCTTTGCTCACGACCGGCGCGTGGAGTACCATAGCAACTCTCTGTCACGTATTTGGTCTTGGCCTGAGCCTTTACAATGTATCGGTACCGAAGATCGATATGAAGACTGTCCTATCAGACTGAACGGACAACTGTACGGCCATAAGCATGAATGCAAATGGGATTCTAATTTTGTATTCATTCATTGTGGAACAAGAAATCTGGATGAAAATTTAGAATACTGGGGCGGTATTCGTTTTGCCAATCCAGAATTTGAGTTTTCACTGTACGAGCATAGAATTCATGATCACCACACGCATGAGACAATGAAGAAGGAGGAAAGCTCTTTATTACACGTGCACATCGTCGGAGCTGGCGTGCTACACAATGAAAAGTCTCCCGCCGTCCAGAGTATTACGAAAAATCCCACTATACAGAACGTTAACATTAGTCAATGTGCCCACCACGGCATCAATATCATATCGCCCACCGACTCTATTCATATAAGGTTTAACACAATCAACGATACGCTGGGAGAAGGCATTAGTGCCATATCGCTTAACGGAGAGGGTAGAGAATCCGACGAGTCCAGTTTCACCCCGTTAAAAGATTTGAATCTTCCATACCACATGTTCTCGCTCATAGACATCTGTGACAGTACGAAGATGGTAACAGTGGAAGAGAGAGTACTCTTGTACTACAAATACGACAACAATCCAGTGAACTGTGTCAAAATATTCAAGAGTGCATTTAGGGTTAAGCCCTTTGGTTTTAGATTACTTCAGTTTAATTTGTTCAACCATACAACGAACTATGGGAAACGCGATTCATTGACTCTGTACGATGGAGATATTTACAATATTACAGCCCCGCAGATCGGCTACTTGGAGAACGGCTCCCCCGATGAGAAGAAACTGTTCCGTACCAGCGGCCCCAGCCTTAGCGTCAAGTTGTTCGCTAACGGCGCCGCCTCCGTGCACGGATTCATCGCCGAGATCGTCACTCTGCCTATATCTGCTATTGGATTCAGTAAGTATTTATCTCGCTCTACCTTATGAAACTCACAACATCACCTTCAACGACTAGGATATTTTTCGTTCTTTAGTTGTATAATTGTTTATTTGCTCGTGAATTGAATTTTTAAATCTTCGAACATGTACTACTATAATATTGTTTTTCAAACAATTTGTCTTTTATTGTAAAATCAATAAAATGAAATGATCGTGTATACGTGTATTCGTGTTGTCGTGTTCCAGATCGCGACGTGCAGCACAATATATCGAGCAGCGAACTGACGTACAACAGGGACGGCGCGATCACGTACCAGTCGGTGGGCGAGGTGAACCCCATGGTGGCCATCATCCGGAACGAGATCAAGAGCAACTGTCTCAAGCTGTACGGCAACTTTACCACCTGCCAGGCCGCCGTCACCATCGACGTGCAGAACACGCAGACCCTGGTGTTTAAGGTGAGGGCGAGTGCCATAGAACGGAAGTAAATTGACGTGCTGGCGCCACTACAGCCCTCGCAGACTGTTCGCGATTTAGAATAGATAACGGTCACATAGGTGATATCGTGCCGCGTTTGCAGAACAACCTGGTGCAGGACAACGTGGGCGGGCTGCTGGTGCGGGCCGACTCGCGCGGCGCGGCCACGTCGCTGCGCGGCTGGATACACAACAACCTGTTCTACGACAACCACGACCTGCCCTGCCTCCGGGTTGAAGGTACCCACCTACATAGCATTCTGCTCTATTTGTCTGCGTTGTCGTTTTGTATATTAATCGGTATTTCAAGTCGTTATCATTCGTACCTCCACTGCTGCTGACTACAAATCTCTCCCCATAATAGGAGGATGAATTTGTAGATAAAATTTCACATTAAATACAAATTCTCTTGCACTTTTATATCTCGATTTATTCTCGTATTCGCTTCTGATGTACTGTATTCTTATACCATCACTATAGTAACTAGAAACTCCACTTTTATAGGTTTTTAATATTGTGTGAATACCAAAATAGTATAAGATTGTAAAATATAATTAAATAAATAATAATCATCTAGCCACTTCGGCTGGGTGATAAAAATAGATCAATCGTTGTGACTACAACAGGGAACCAGCCCTTCAAATAGAACTCGTTCGCAAGTGTGACCGAGTCCAACCTTCAAAAAAGGAACGCGGCAATCGTAGAGAAGCCGCTATTCTGAGTGAATATTGTCAAAAATATTTAATATATGAAAAATGTTAAAATAAGCTTATATAACAAGGAAATATCGAGATTATAAGATATGTTATATCAACCTAGATTAGCAACACTCGTTGCTAATATAGGTTTATCGTAGGTTAATAGACCTATATTAGCAACGAGTGTTACTTACCAAGTCAATATGCGAAAAGATCATTATCACCTTCACGTAAGTAGCGTTAAATTTAAATTATATATTATTTTGCGCATATAGATGCATATTTTTAATTTTGTATGGCCTAAATATGAATCAGTTGAAAATCTGCGATTAATTATGAAAAACATTCAACATTCAGTCGACATTGTATTTGCTTGATTTGGCCCAAGAAGTCCATTAATATTTCGATGTATGTAAATATTATTTTTTTTTTTTTATTAAAATAGCATTAATTGTATTTTGCTAATTATTATAAAAATATTTACAATATAAACAGTGTGTAGAACTCGACAAGTTTGCCATACAATATGTATATATGGTATAAATATGTGTGTATTGTTGAGTGGTGTGATGTGTGTTATGGTTGCAGGGCGACAGTCGTCCCCGTACCAGGAGGTGACGGTGTACAGCAACTACCTGACGCGCAACCGCGCCGAGTACTGGGACGTCATCGTGCTGCAGCAGGTGGTGTCCAACTTCTCGCACAACTACGTGCACCGCAACCGCGGCCGCCGCATCCTGCGCGTGGCCGGCTTCCAGCGCGTGCGCCTGCCCGTCTACCAGACCACCGCGCACAACGGCTTCTACCAGTGCGTACCCGGCTCACTCTGCCTAGCCTTACCCTCCCCGCCGCAGTGCAGCACACGCATTCTCTCTTCTATAGTGTGGCTGAGCTAATTATATAAAATACTATTGCTAACAAAATATAATGTAATGACATCATTAATGAAAATTCACTGAATATAAGGCTTTTATTATATATAATATAATAAAACCCTTATATTCAGTAAATATAAGGGAAGTATTTTTATAGAAAGACCGTCATTGCCATAGTTCGAAATGTGAATTTTGATAAATCTACTCATAACCCTTTGCACTCGTATGTCCCCGTACGGGGGACATCAGTCGTTTTATCGTTATTGGCCACATTCCCATCCCAGGCCAAAGGGTGTATTCAGGGTGTATATTTTAAAATTTCTGATTTAAGCTTGGTGAACCTTCTAGTTACATTGGAACACATTTCCATACAAACAAATTCATACTGATCGAACATGAAAAAAAAATTCCAAGTTATTTACTAACTTTCTAAAGTATAATCACGAGTGCATAGGGTTAATTCTAAATAAACTTTCCGAAATCACTGAGTAGTCGACTCCGTAGATAAATGCTGATTTACTTAATATTTCAATTAACGAATGGCACAATGCACGTACAATCCTATCATGTCGTGCTCATGCAATTTGTGCGCGCACACGAATATAGATATAGATGCGTGGTTGTGCGTTGAGCTGATTGTAAGTGCATCGACAGCAACTACGCGGTGGACCGCGAGGGCCGCGCCACCGTGGTGGCGGGCACGGCCGGCCAGCGCTACGTCGACAACATCTTCGACAACCCCGACAACGACTACGAGATGATCACCGTCAACAGTTCCATGTGAGTGTGCCGTGCTAGTTATGGCGACTAGCGACGCCATACCTAATCACGATAGCCTCCAGGGGGACCATTACTGTTAACATTACTTGATCATTAGTTCCCATTACTAGCAATCCTCTCCATCTAATACGGTTACACATAATTTTTATTATGATTTTAATATTTTATTGTTCGACTGGTAAAATTTCAAAACGGGCGCAGTTAAAGTTATTCTGCGCCTGCTACAGCAAAGTTAAAAAATATTTTATAAGGATTGCAAGTTTGTGAATGACAAAATAGTATTGTTACCAATAATTGAATACAGTATTGTGAGTTGCATGAATTTCTACATTATTGTCATGTTATTAAAATGCAAGGAGCATGTTACGATTATGTAATAATAATAATAATTGTTTATTTGCATGTTTGTGTTGCATGGCCGCCCCGGACCCATAGCTTTGACTATAACTCTGCCGGCGCGAGGTGAGTCTACAGGATGAATGCAATAAATTAATATTTAATGTTTAGTTATAAGTGATTAGAAACTATGAACGTTGATAGTATTTCTACTACTACGTTGCATGCTTTTCGTCAATAACAAGTGGATTTTGATATTAGAGTAAGTGACGGGGTGGGCATATTAAAATGGAGTTATATTTTTGGCATGCTAATTTTACAATTTCAATATAAAATTACGTCTAGTGTGTGATTTTCAGTCAACGAGTAGTTGCCCTACTTATATTTTTATTCAAAATACATGATATTTATTGACTAGCAGGTTAATTTATTATTATTATTTTTTTACAACAAGGTGCAAACGAGCATGCGGCTCACCTGATGGTAAGTGACTACCGCCACCCATGGTCACCCACAACACCTACGGCATTGCAGGTGTGCTGCCGGCCTTTTAAAAAGGAATATGCTCTTTTCTTGAAGGTTATGTTGTCGTATCGGTTCGGAAATACTGCTGCTGGAAGTTGATTCCAAAGAGTGGTTGTGCGTGGGAGAAAGTGCCTTGAAAAACGCACGGTGGAGGACCGCCACTCGTCCAGATGGTTGGGATGAAATTTTAGTTTATGGCGGGTTGTACGATGGTGAAAATCTGCAGCAGGTATCAATCCAAACAATTCTTCAGAGCACTCCCCATGATAAATTCGGTAGAAGATGCACAGAGATGCAACATCTCTACGCAGTTTCAGTGGGTCGAGCCGGACAGTAAGACACCGATCGTCAACAATTCGAGCTGCCCGACTTTGAATGCGGTCTAACGGAAGGAGTTGGTACTGTGGCGCTCCTGCCCACAGGTGAGAACAGTATTCCATGTGTGGCCTCACTTGAGCTTTATACAGTTTTAGGCGGTTTTCTGGCGTGAAATACCGTCTCACCCTTTTGAGCACCCCCAACTTTTTGGAAGCTATCTTAGCTTTTTCCTCCGGATGACCGCAAAACTGGACGTCGCTAGATATATCGACGCCAAGAATCTCCAGACTCGACTTATTATCAAGGGAAGTGCCCTGAAAGTGAGGAGATACGACAAACGGTGTCTTTTTTTCGGTGAACGCGCAGACTTGTGTCTTCTTAGGGTTAAAGTGGACAAGATTGCGTTCACCCCAGATCGAAACTTTATCGAGTGAAGTTTCGATTTCAGACACAAGTCTGTTCCGGAACTCATCGGTATCGAGATCTTTGCACGACCGGTGTATAATGCATCTCCTGTGCTGTCGTCTGCATAACAATGAATATCACTGATCTGTAACATATCATTGATATGCAGAAGAAACAGTGTCGGAGATAGTACACAGCCTTGCGGGACACCAGCATTCACAGGTTTTAAATCAGAGCATGCTCCGTCGACTATGACCTTAATGCTACGTTCCTTAAGAAAGCTGGCGACCCAACTGCACAATCTCGCAGGCAACCCAAACGAAGGTAGTTTTGAGATTAGTGCCCTTTGCTACACCCGATCAAAGGCTTTCGCAATATCCAGACTAACAGCTAAGGCCTCTCCCTTATTCTCGATTGCCACCGCCCATCGGTGTGTTAAATAAACTAAAAGATCACCAGCCGAGCGTCCCCGTCGAAAGCCGTACTGGCGATCTGAGATCAGCTGGCGATCCTCTAGGTACCGGAGCAGTTGATCGTTAATAACTGATTCCATGACTTTCGAGAATAAGGAAGTGATAGCTATGGGCCTATAGTTAGCTGGATCTGAGCGGTCTCCTTTTTTAGGGATCGGATGCACCAAAGCAGTCTTCCAAAACTTTGGGACTATACCTGATGAATAATAGAGACGAAAAAGACGCGTAAGAACCGGAGCCAACTCTGGTGCGCACGTCCTGAGCACAATTGGAGAAATGCCATCGGGCCCACTCGACTTATGGATTTCAAGGGAGAGAAGTGCTCTACGCACTGATCTTTGCGTGAATTTAACATCCGGCATAGAGCTCTTACAACGCGGGATGGTCGGCGGTAGTTTCTCCCCGTCATCCAACGTCGAGTTTGATGCAAAGAGAGATCCAAGGAGATCGGCCTTCTCTTCGGCGTTCAGAGCCAACTAGTTATCCTCCCTACGCAATGGTGGAAAAGATGACTGACAGAAATTCCCTTGTGCAGTTTTGGCAAGAGACCAGAAAGCTCGAGATCCCGAAGGTAAACTGGCCAATCTCTTGCCAATTCTACCAATATGCTCTGACTTCGCTGTGGCCAAAACTCTTTTGAAGGACCTAGGGGCAAAGTTATACTTCTTTTTAAGGGCACTGATGTAAGGATCTCGCGACGCCACACCTTTGGCACAGGCTAGGAAGCACTCCTGCTTCAGGCGAGATGCTAATCTACAAGAGGCTTCATACCAGGGCTGGGATTTCCCACCGACAGGTACCACAGAGTTAGGAATAAATAATTCCATTCCCTGAAGCACCACATCGGCGATGGAATTGGCGATGGCGTCGGGGTCCCCCAGTGCGAAGAAACCTGCCTCCATGGGTAAGATGCGAAAAAAATCCGCATCTCATCCCAGTCTGCCGACCTGTAGTGCCAAAAACGACGTCTACCCGTAGAACGTGGTGAAATCAGACTCATGAGAGGCACCTCGCTCCGCACCAGACAGTGATCCGACGATCCAAGCGGAGCTTCGACGGAAATCGCATAGTTGTCTGGGTGGGTGGTCAGCAGAAGGTCCAGCAGTGAAGGTGGTCCAACACATCAGGTATTCGCGTGGGCAAGGAAACAAGCTGCATCAGACCATAAGCCAAAGCAAAGTCATGAACAGATCTTCCTGCATAGTCGGTTGTACGTGAACCAAGCCATTCGGTATGGTGGGCATTAAAGTCGCCAAGAATCACGAATTCAGCGGAAGGAATCTGTTCGAGCAGGGAATCTGTAGCCATTTGGACGTGCTCAATGAGTTGGTCGGATTCGATGTTAGCGCTGTGGGACCTGTATAGGCATGCATAGACACGGGGATGGTCATTGCAGTCTACGCGCAGCCATAAAATAGACAGGTCCGTTCCTTCAAGAGTTCCAAGGCGGCGACAGCAGATATCCTCTCTGACATACGCGCATACACCGGCACGCGAAACAAAACTATGTTCAAGTTTATAGCCCGGGTACGTCAGATATGAAGTTTCGTTTGGAAAGGATATCTGTGTCTCCGTTAGAAAGAGCAATGCCGGCCGCGCCGTTTCTAGGTGGTGGTGGACAGCGTTTAGGTTAGAATGTAATCACCTGATGTTGCAGAAGCTCACATTGAGCGAAGGGGATGCCGTAGAAATCTTGCTTCGTTTGCCCTTGGTTCCAAAGAGCGAAATTTTGGGAATAGGAAAGGGATGGGTATGGGATGGGAATGGGATGGGCCTCCAGACTCCCTCACTCACCATACGGAATGTGATCGCACTAAAAGTGCAACCACTTAGCGTCGGTATTCTGTGAGGGTGTGGTACTTCCCCGGTCGAGCCGGCCCATTCATGCTGCAATACCATATAGGATTACAGCGTGGCTCTACCACAGTAAAAAGTTATAAAAGTGGGGTTGTTTCGTGTAGGTTTATGTTACTAAAACATGGACTAGGATAGATATGAGAGGTCGTGTGTTACGCTGGCCGCAGCGCGGGCGAGGCGTGGCGGTGGCGCGTGGAGGCGGCGCACAACTACTGGGGCAGCGGCAGCGCGGCGGCCGTGGCGGGCCGCGTGCGCGAGCGCGGCGACTGCGCGCGGCTGCTGGCCGTGCAGCTGCTGCCGTTCCGCGCCGACAACCGCAGCCTGCTGGCCGGCGGCAAGTGCCCGCCCGCCTGGGCCGCCGTGCGCGGCGCCTGCCTGGCCTACGTCGCCGCGCCCATGACCTACGCCGCCGCGCGCGCCTTCTGCCTGGTGCGCCACCGACCTCACCCACCACTATACGCTTGCGTCCTCTCGACAAAAACACACAAAACAACTTACGAGTAAACTATTTCTGAAGTAATAAATATAAAAAAATGAAACCTCCCTTCAATTTTTTTTTATACGACTTAGAATGGCAAACAGGCTGACGGCCCACCTGATGGCGAGTGGTAACCGTCGCCTATAGACATGAGCAGTACCATGGACATAACAGAGTATACTGTTTCGCCCATGATACCCCCCATGCGCTGCCATTCCTGAGGACTCAGATGTTATTCCTCTGTACCCAGTAAATTCAAGCCATATTCCACCCTTCAAACCGAAACACAGCCATGCAAACACAACTGCTTCACGGTTGTAACATGAATAGGACAGAGGTACCCAAGCAATTGACTTTTGTACAAAGTCACCTCTTTCAAAAATATTTTATCAATTTGTTGACACTTCTTTTTTCTTTAATTCGGAAACATCTTTTAAAATCAGAATAAGTTTTAAATTCTTAGCAAAAATTATAATATATAGAAACATATAACTAAGAAGAAAAACACACTAGTACCAGATTCAGCGACTGAAACTAGTCCCCCCGGTGTGCCAGTAGCGTAGACAGGGTTGCATTGCATTGCATTCGGGTTGCAGTCGGACAACGCGTCGCTGCCGTACGTGACGAGCGGCGACTACGCGGAGCTGTACTCGTTCGTGGCGGCGGCGGGCGGCCGGCCGGGCGACGCCGACCGCGTGTGGGTCAACCACATCGACTACGTCTCGCGCTGCACCTCCTTCGCCTCCTCCTCCGTCGACGTCACCGACTGCAACCAGAAGAACCCCTTCATATGTGAAATCGGTCAGTTCATAACCGGCAGACTCTCGGCTCTGTCGTCGCACCGAGTAGTTTACTGGCACAAACATATTCTCATAGTCCCAGTATAGAATAGGCCGCCCCTTCTTTCCCGTGGGTGCCGGAAGAGGCGACTAAGGTAACATAATGGTTGAGAGATGGGCAGCAGCATCCCTCTTTTAAACATCACCAAAGCCAACCTGCTGATTATATAACAGCCATACTGCAGATCCCCCCAGTAGGATCCCCCTATGTTTAAGCCTAAGCAGTGCACAGTTAACGGCTGAGATGACGATGATGGAAACAAATAAATGTAAACTTCAAATATGTGTGAAACATTTTTTGGTATTAAGACCTAATTATTTATGGCTATGTCGAAGTACGTAAGTCACTGAATAGTGAAAGGTGGAGAGGCGGCGAGGAACCGGTGGTGGTAATGGACGGTGCGCTTGCAGACCCCCGCATCTCGATCGACCCGCTGTCGTGGCGCGACGACGAGCTCACGCTGGCGCTGATGGGACTGCTGGCGGCCGCGCTGCTGCTGGTCGGCGCCGCGCTGGTCTGCTGGTACTCCAAGTCCAAGCATAGGTGCGAACTACTACCACATCGATAGGTCACCGAACGAACAGGGAGTTATTAAAAAATATACGTGCCGTGAGCGCTCTACACGTGACCATAAAAGAGTAATTTTATTCCAAAATCGAATAAACATAAATACATTTGTATTTTTCCCCACTCTTGACGATGATTCGTATTTTAAAATATATTTTTTTTTTTGTAAATTTATCCTTATATTTTCATTAAATGTTGTGTAGGCATTTACAAAGGTTGGAGCGTCGTAACTCGATCCGGCAGTCGTTGCACTCGGTCCGCTCCATAGGCAGCATCAACGGAGGCTTCCCGGACACGGCGTACAGGCGGAAATTAGCACAAATGGTGAGTATTAAACACTTTACATTATGTACGTCTAATGGAAAAGATTCGAGTTTATATTACAATACGAACGTTGATTTACAGAGCACGCGATCCACGGAGACACTGACCAAGGGCTCCGACTATCGGAAGATGCTAACGTCGACCACGTCTATGGAGTCGATGGAGAAGAGCCAGTTCAACTCGTCGATGGAGGACAACCAGAGCTTCGATATCTACGAGGCGCACAACCCCAGCCCCGGCGTGATGCAGCTCAAGCAGAGCACGTTCATGAAGAAGCCGGCCTCGCCGGAGTACTCGGTGCCGCAGAACAACAGCGGGCTGTTCGAGCTCGCGTACAGGAACCAGGGCTACAAGGACGCGTCCGAGTCGGCCAGCGAGGCGCCCTCCATCAACACCGTGGCCACCGAGGAGATGCCCATCCTGCCGCGGCCGCCCGCCGACCACTACTTCACCTCCGACACGCTGCCGCTGAGGGCCGCGGGCCGCCCGGCCGACAGAGAGGACAGGGTGTACGGGCCCTACGGAGCCCCCGCGTGCGTGGTCGGCCAGCAGCCGAAGCTGGCGTTCCTGATGGAGCTGCGGTCGCGGCTGCCGGACCAGCCGCCGCCCGCCGCGCCCACTACGTTCGGTCAGAGGACCAACGGAATCCGTAAGTTCCTTATCTGCTGTTGACTTTCAATTTCTTGAAAGAAAGATACGATGAAACTTTTTACTCCATCGTCGAGGTACGCCCGTCTGACGAGGAACTGCGGCTAAGTAGAGCCACTCCTGTGGTAGGTACTGTATAGTTGCGACGGCTGCGAGGTCACCTAGATGACAGATTGTTTCTGACGATGGGAATGTAATTTATTACCACTATTGAAGATCGCGAAATTCAAAATGTTTTTAATATGAAAATGTACGGGCTTCGTAGATTATAGTTATATATGTAAACAGTTGGCCGTATGATCCCGGCATTGAACAGGTCACCCCTACCTTTCCCGTGGGTGTCGTAAGAGGCGACTAAGGGAGGGCGAAGGGTGGACAGCAGCGTTTCTTTTAAAACATTTCCAAAGTCTAACTGTGGTCGCTAATTCGCCTGCCAAGCGTAATAACACAAGCGTGCAAAATCCCCGAACAGGGAGGCTTATGTCCAGCAATGAATATGTAATGGTTGAAATGATCGTGATGATTTCAAAGTATCAATAGTGGTATCGATTCCGAGGTGTCGTTTCCTAAATGTATCTCTAAAACCAAAATGTTATCGTCGTAATAATAATTTTGTTGCATTATCGAATCAAAATTGTAGACATAGAAAATGATGCGTCACAGTCGAGGCAGTGAATAGTTGACATATGTTTATAACCGAGCGGCGCGTGTACAGCGGCGGCGGCGGTCGGCGCGGTCGGCGCGGGCGGCGTGGACGAGGCCGGCGTGCCGCCGCCGTCCCGCGCGCGGTCCGAGGCGCTGCTGGAGACCAACTTCGAGTGCGAGGACTCGGACTGCAGCCCGCTGCCGCTGGCCGACGCCGCGCGGTCCTACAGCCAGCCTCTGGAGACTTCCATGTAGTATTGCGTCGTGCGCGGGTCCGCACGGCCTATAGACGTCCCTGCTGACTCGACTCGACGACGCTGCGCGCCGACGAGTATTAAAAACTGTAATAGTAAAGCAATGAAAAGACTGAGCGTGAACGGAGGTGTCTTACTAGAACAATTGTATTCTTTCCCATCTAACATTTCCAACGAGTGCCTTAGGTTTTTGACTGTACTTGAACATTCCTGTTGCGTTTCTATGTACTTACGCACTCATACTTTATATAACGAGGAGATATATTTATACATATTTTAAAGCTATATATATATATATATATATATATATATATATATATATATATATATATATATTATATATTATAGACAGAGAATATACGATCTCAATATTTTATTTTTAAAAATAAAATAAATTTAAAAAAGCCTTACTCGTGTGGTCTTCTCTGCAGGTGCGATATTTCTGTAGGTAAATGTCCGAGCTCGACGAACCGATACATTACCTGTGCAATGATTCCTATTGCAATACTTTAATATTAAGTTACGTCGTCCGTCCCGATGTTTATATACATATAATTAGAGAAATGTTTAATGTTGACCATATATTATATGAAATATTTGTTCTATGAATAAATAATCATAGCTAGCATAATAAGTCCCTAGCGCTTACTGACACACATTCCGAGTCCATGTACATATATATACCTAATGGATATGTTTATTGACATTAAGTTTTTTTTTTCTATTTTTCTTCTATTTTAAGTAAAACATTTTACATCACTCAATGTATTTTACCTCTTATTTTTATACTGTAACTTTATTTACACATATAAGCTGTGAATAAACTCTATGTACTTTTTCAAAATAATATAATGACTTTTTTCTTTTACAATTTTAGAATATGACAATGTCATAGACGCCAAAATAAAACCGAAAAAGTTATTTGATACATTAATGTGTTTTATTTGTACGAGATTGTACCCATAACTTCGATTATTATTAGAACCAGGCGGTTCTATATATGTATATATAATTTCCTATATACAGAAGAATAACAGCGAAGTCCTCAGGAATTGCAATCCATTGGAGGTATCATGGGCGAAACAGTATACACTGGTATTATGTCCATGGTACTGCTCATGTCTATATGCGACGGTTACCATTTTTCATCACCAATATAAAAAAATTAATGTATAATGGGTGTCACGGTATTTTATATCGTATCAAATGTTGCTGTTCGTGACTATAGGCGACGTCATCGTGTTTGTCATTCTATGTTGCAAAAAAAGTGAAATCCATGCACTTGGAATATTTTCCCCTCTTTCTTTTCATTTAAGAGTTTTCTCTTGTCGGTGCGATTAATTCATGCATTTTCTTCCAGTCAGCTTTATCCCAGGCCATATCCTGAATTTTGCCCTATTATAATAAAATTTATAGATACTGCAAATTTCAAGACATGGGTGAATTAATGACGATTTCACTGCATAAAAGTCTCAGAATTTTTTACCTAAAAAAAGTCTTCATATAACGAAAATCATGAATTAAAATAAAATAAAAACAGCACTATATAATACTAGGTATGTATCACAATAACAATAAATATTTTTTGGATTCCTTGACCTACCATGCACTTGTCCATACCGCTAAGTTATATTTAGTACCTATGGAGGCACCCAAACACATAATATGACCGTTTCCAAATTTTTTAAACAGTATATATATATTATAAAGGATGCGAAATAAAAAAACCAATTTTCTTAGATGTTGCCTAAGCACTGTCAGAGCACGCACTAAATCAAGGAAAAAGGTAATTCTATATTTATAAGTATAGTGCGTACCCTCAGTACTTTTAATTTTTATTTATAATGGACTGTATTAATAATAAAACTATAAGTGGGTACATTTATATAGGTATACAAAAATAGGTGTAAAAAAGTACAAATAATAATAATATAAACTAAATCGTAGTGCGTCGCCTACATATATATATCTCTTTCCTACACAGCTATGTAAAGTGTATATATTCTGTCTTTTATCACTGGTCCTCTGCCAAAACCTTTATAATAAAAAATCTCGGGTTTCCATCAAATTGTTTTTGACAGTTTAATGCTCTTGATAGATGTCAACTTGACAATGACAATCATATGACAATATTTGTAATAGTAAAGTGAGCATTGATGGATATATGAATAAAATTAAAATCCGATTTCGATATTTAAGAGACATGGAAACAAAAGGCGGAACTTTTGCGTTACATTGTGATTAGTTCACTAGTTGTTATTGTGATAAATTATTAATATAAATTTTTATTGTTGATTAAGGCTACCCATTGACCACAGCTTGTAACGATGGATCCTACTGCTTCCGTGAATAATGATATTATTGAAACAATAGAAAATGAGGAAGAAATCTTGGACGACTCCGAAGAAAGAGAACTTGTCACCGACTCGTGTAGTACGAAGGTGCTGGACAGCAGTGAACAGCCCTGCGACCGATACTGGATTGTGTACATATTATTTTACTTATTTGGAGTCACTTCTCTCGTACCTTGGAACTTTTTGATAACTGCTAATGATGTAAGTGATGTTAATATTTAGAATCCTCTGGTTACACGGATCAAATTTAAATACATTTATAATTTAGGTGGTGTCATATCTGACAGTAATTTTTTAGAATTGTGTTCTAAAATGTACTACATCACATTGTAAGGATCTTTCAAATTCAAGTTTTATTTGGAAAAACGACAGTTGAGTTCCTTGGCCATTATTATCGGCAAAAATTACATTCTGAAATTGGTAGTAGGATCATAAATAAATTATATTAAAAAAATCTTAAAATTAAGATTTCTTGAATTTAAATTATTTCTGGTGTTATGACAGTACTCCTATTAGAATATTTCAGCATGCTTGCAGAACATAATATAACATGTATAATTTTACCTTTACCTTTTTGGCATATCATGCATACATTATACATATGGAAGTACTAAAAGTGTCTTAGTTGTAAAAATATTGAATGTGTAATAAGAATAAATAGAAATAAGTTTTATATCTTTGAGTCGACTGACAGCTGCAGAATACTATCTAATGTGTACTGTGTGTTGTATTAGGGTATCACAATTGTATAGCCGTTAATAACAATGTACAATGTTGTTTTAGTACTGGATGTACAAGTTCCGAGATGTGAATCCGAGCAACCTCACAATGGTTGTGAGGAAAACACAGTTCCAAGCAGAGTTCACTTCATACCTCAACGTGGCCACAGCTGTTCCCAACTTGATCTTTTTAATCTTAAATTCACTCTATGGACATTTGTAAGTGTATTTTCATTGTATATAAATTGTAAAAATAGGATTTTCTTATGCAACTTAGAATGGCAAACAAGCTGACGGCCCACCTGATGGAAAGTGGTAACCGTCGCCTATAGACATGAGCCATATATATACCATGGACATAACAGAGTATATTGTTTTGCCCATGATATCCACCCTCCCTATACATTGCCATTTCTGAGGACTCAGATGTTATTTCTCTGTACTCTATAAATTCACTGCTATATTCCATCCATTAAACCAAAATACAGCTATGCACATACAACTTCTTCACAGTATAAATACAAATTGGACAGACGTACCCAAGCAAACGACTTTTGTACAAAGTCTCCATCTGGTAATAATAGTAAGTATGATGGTAATCTGGTAAAGGATGGCTTGGTTTTTCTCAAGATTGTTCAACTAGTTTTTGGACCATTTGGCAATATCAGACTATTAATATTATTATTGATTTGACTTTATTTATAACTGAAAAAGAAAATTTCTTAATTGAATTTTATTTTTTTGAGTGTTTGTTCTATGTTTTCAATAATGAGAATGATTTATTAAAAGAAAACCTCTTTGAGAATGAAATGTCATTGTATCAACCATGAAATGTTTACAGAGTATCAATAAAGAGTAGGCTGCAAGGATCGCTAATAGTGATCATGCTGTCATTCCTGGTGACCACTGCGCTGGTGCAGGTCAACACAGATGACTGGCAGAATGGGTTCTTTATTGTCACTATTGTGACTGTTGTTATAATGACAGGTGAGTAATTGTTTGCTCGTGTTAGTAAGTTTACAGTTGATAAATAAATAAATAAATAAATTTCTTACTGAACATATTTTGTACATTTACATTGTTTTTTTACTGAAACAATAGTGCATAAAATTAAGACAAATACCTACAATAAAAAGGCATTTGTGTTATTTGATTAAGTGCTATCATGCATTATTTGCTTTTGGAGGGTGTTACTTTTAAATTACACATTTAGATAAAATTCTTTTATTACTATGTAGAATTCTTTACATAGTAATAAAGAGCACATTATTATCAGTCATTACCGCCCTACTATCTGTTATATTCAAAGACATCATTATGAATCTTTCTAAGTGTTATCCAATATTCTTATCTTAATGTTATTCCAGAAGTTGTCCATGTTACATTAACATTATATATGTACTCTCTAAAGTCATATATTGTAGAAGAATAAATACTTTTCTCCGATATAAACGTTTCTGTTATAATTTTAATTTGGCTAGATGATAATTTATTGTATCTTTTAATTAGGTACAGAAATAGTTACCAAGAATTCAGTTGTTATCTTATCGCAATCTTTACTTTCCAGTTTGTTATCGTTGTCTATACTTGATACTTGTATTAAAATCACAATGATAATGTTCATATTTATTTAAATTATCTTTATTCAAATAAACTTGTTTACTAGAACTTCATTTTTTGAATCTACCGCAAGGTTGGAAGGTTGTTAACTATACTAAATTGAATTGAGATGAGATTTATTCGTAAAAATATGACTGTAGTTTTTTAAGTTTACTAATATATATGTATAGATTCAGTCTTATTATTTATTTCATACAAGAGTTCACCCATAACATAATCTATTTAACTGCAGTAAAATATAGTATTTATTCTTCAATAGTATGTGTGCACCAAACTTGATGATGAATGGTTTGGTGGCTACTGGTTGGGTGGTTAAGGTTCCAAAACAATCAAACTGACTCTCACATTTGTAGTGTTGGTCGACAAAGGCTTATCAAATTTGGATACTTCATTTCTGATTACAGTCGTGTTCATATTGTTTTTAATATGTTTAAATATCTAAATAAAGAAAAAATGTGTTATTTTGAACAATAGTTATGTGCATGTTTGAGAAGACAAAGAAACGAATCGTATAATCGTACATAGTTATCGCGTCTACTGAGTCATAGTTCATTGTTGTAGGTAGTCCTACATATGGTAACACATGTTAAGAAAACTTAGTTTTAAACTTTTTTTAAGAACTTTAATTCGTTTAACATAAATTGTAAACTGATACGAATTGTTAATGAGTAGATACGTACACATTGTCGGATAATTGCTATCCACATGTAATATAACACGAAACGACCGTGGTTCGCGGTAGCACAAAAACGTGTCATAATGCGTAACGGATAGACACGTTAACACTGTTTAATACTTTCATTAATAGTTTGTTACAATACAAACCTCGAGTGATGCGGGCTTTACTAATATTCTCGAGTAAATATTTGGATATGACACGAGTGGGCGTATATCGTGACGCGTGGGTGGTGTCGGCAGCGGCGAGCGCGGTGTTCATCGGCGGGCTGATCGGCATCGCGAGCCGCTTCTCGAAGGAGTACATGGGCGCGGTGGTGAGCGGGCAGTCGCTGGGCGGCGTGGTGGCGGCGGCGGCGCAGGTGGTGGCGCTGGCGCTGCGCGTGTCGCCGCTGCGCAGCGCGCTGGCGTACTTCGCGGCGGCGGACGCGCTGCTGGCGGCGGCGCTGGCGGCCGGCGCGGCGCTGCGGCGGCTCGCCTTCTTCCGCCGCCACGCGCGCCGCGCCGCCGCGCCGCCCAACCGCCACCGCGCCGCCACGCCCGCCGCCGTCGCCCGCAAGGTGGCGCTGCCCGCCCTCACCATGTTCACCGTGTTCGCCGTCACCATGGCCGTGTACCCGGCCGTCACCGTGCTGGTCGAGTCGCACCCCACCACCGCCGGCACCGACTGGAACAGTGAGTACTCCTGCCCTGCGCCGCTCTGCCTACATAGCTAGTAGTTGATATTCATTTTCACTGATGAAAGATTCCTTTGACACTTTAACGACATGATTGCGTATAGTAATATATTTGTAAGTATATAACTATTCTAGAGGATCAGTATTACCAGTAAGTATTCGCTGAAGGTGTTACAGGTGTACGCACCGACCGAGTATGTCATACTCCAATGATGAGGTACAGGTAATGTTTAACGTTCCTCTAAATCTCAATACATATTATTGATAAGGGGCTTTAACACTAAATTTGGAAAGACGATGAGATAACTGTGATATCGGGCAGCGAAATCCGAGGAAACATCAGTTGGCTGCCTTTATGAATAAAAATCGGTAAAAAAACTTTTAAGTTAAACGGTTTTATTTTATGTGCACTGAAAACAACAAAATAAATAAATAGTTACTTACCTATCAACCTACGTAGGTGATCTCGGTCATTAATATCTCTGATGGTAGTGGTTGTCATAACATGAACCATGTCAGCGGCCGAAAGGCAGTTCATGAGAGAACACTAACACCAGGGTTTGCTTGGTAGGTAAACTAAGCAGCCCACACTATAACAAGTAGGTATTTTGACCTTCTAGTTCAGAAATATTTTAGTACTAGGCAGAATAGCTTTTAGGCATATTAGACTAAAATAAAAACGTGGGGCCCATTAACTATTTCTGTATTACATTCTACTATACTAAGTGTGGATTGCATCGACTTATTATAATCGTCATCATCATCATCCTAGCGGTTTATCCCGGTCGCATCCGAAACCTCATAGCTTCGGAGTCCATGGTCCGCTGAATCGACTTACTATAATCGTAACTGGAGGTTTTGACCATCAATAACCAGCCGTTACGGCTTCACCAGCGAACGCCGAGCTCATGATCTACCAAAGTATAAGATATGCTCTGCTATAGGTATGATTTCAGAGGGGCCCCACGTTTTCATTTTAGTCTAATATGCCTAAAAGCTATTCTGCCTAGTACTAAAATATTTCTGAACTAGAAGGTCAAAATACCTACTTGTTATAGTGTGGGCTGCTTAGTTTACCTACCAAGCAAACCCTGGTGTTAGTGTTCTCTCATGAACTGCCTTTCGGCCGCTGACATGGTTCATGTTATGACAACCACTACCATCAGAGATATTAATGACCGAGATCACCTACGTAGGTTGATAGGTAAGTAACTATTTATTTATTTTGTTGTTTTCAGTGCACATAAAATAAAACCGTTTAACTTAAAAGTTTTTTTACCGATTTTTATTTTCTTGTTTTTAGTATTTAGTGAAATTGTTTACCGAATATTCCTCATTCTATTCAATTCATTCAGTGCATCATTATTACATGGTTTCTTACCTGATAATTTAGTACAATCTAATTCCTCAATACATAGCCCTTCCAGAGACTTGACTCGACTTAGAGCCACGTATGCTTGTCCTTCCTCAAACCATTTTGAGCTCAAATATACTACTGCATGGTCGACGGTGCTACCCTGCATTTTATGGACGGTGAATGCCCATGACAAAACTAAGGGCAACATCCTTTTTTCAGCCGTACCATAATTGAATTTTGCTGGAAACTGTATGGCTTTAGGGTAAATAACGTGCATGCCGTCTGTGCCAAAGTCAATTAAAACTGATGATATATCTGTTTCGTACATTTGGGTTCGACGGAACTGAGGCCAAACAATTTCTGTAATGTGGCCTATAGCGTCATTTACCAATTCTTTTGTAACGTCAATGTTGGACCGCAACATTACTTTTGCACCTACAAATATTTCAAGTACTGATGGTAAGCCTCCAGTCTTATTTATATTTGTTGGTATTTTTTGTTTATTGTTACCATGTTGTTCCCACGATTAAGGGGCATTTTGACGGTCAACCCCCCCCCCCCCCCCGCCGCAGTCCAGTAAAGGGGCAAGGCTTAATATACAACAAGATGCGCCCAATCTTGAGGGGGAAGCGCTTACGACATTACATTTTTATCCACCCTAATGCCATACAGTCCTCGGCACGTTTTAACCTATTACCTTAACTTGGGTGGTATAACTATCGCTTACTAACGAGGTATCTAATTACCTTTTTTTTTTTATCTGCCCCTCTAACGTCACACAATCTTAGACGCAACTGTTCTCGATACGACTAATCATGCCCCCACCTAATACGCCATTTTGTAACAGCGTCCATCTTGAATTTGAAATTTTGACATAATGACAGTATTCTGCAGTGTAGTCCTATTATTTGATACCCATATTGTGGTGGTTGTGGAAAAATATGTACCTAGTCCGCCATATTGGAACGGCGTCCATCTTGAATTTTAAATTTTGACATAATCATCGTGTTTTACTAGTGTAGCCCTTTCATTTGATACCCATATTGCGGGGGTTAAGGAAAAATATGTAATCCGCCATTTTGTTTCGGCGGCCATCTTAGATTTATAATGTTATTGATTTTATTATATTGTATTGTCATCTAAATTAAATGTGTGTACCAAATTTCAGATCAATCTGACAACGGGAAGGTGCTTAAATTCCAATTTCTAATTTTGACCCAAATAAATAAATACCGTACAGGTCGAGCTAAATAAAACCGTTTAAAAAGGAGAACTTTTTATGATGAACTTCCAGAAGCGGCTCTAAAGGGTCTGGCCGAATTCTGACAAATACACAAAAAATGAGGTAGACTTCATCATGACGACTAATTGCCATTTGTTTAATAATGTCTCGGTGATCAACAGGTTGAAAACCTGAAGTGGTTACCGAATGCTAAGAAGCACACTGAACCTGAATATTAAAAGTTTACGTCTGATAAAGTCTACGCTTCGATCTTCGTATGCCTTTATCCAAAATCTCGAGAGATTTCAACTTGAATTGTCAAATCGCTTTCAGTGTCTGGTGAACTGTGAAACTGGACGATTTAAACGATAAACTAGTAGAAACTGTCCAAGCAGCTAAATCTAAAAGCTAAATTTCGCAAGCCCCAACGTTCAAATAGAACTCAAAAATTGTCTGATCGGGCGATCAGATCTAAAGGGCTTTAGATCTCAGGAGAAAACTACGTGAATTATGGTCCCAGTCTTCAATGTCTGCGTCAAAATTTAGGCAGCTTAATAGGCAAATCTCCGTGTGTATACGGCATGACATACGCCAGTTCAGTACTATATGCATTGAACAGGCAATAGAGCGGAACCAAGGCTCCAAAGTGTTCGCCAGAGATTTGGCTATTGGGCGAAGCCAACTGACAAAGTTGAAAACCGACACCGGTGATATAATTTCCGCCATGTCTCAGATTTTGAGCGAGATTGAGAAGTTCAATGGACAGCTGTACACAACGTCGTTAGCACCGCATACTAGTGCCAATAACGACCAAAGAGCTAAAGTCACTCGACAGTATACCGATGATACCTTGTAACGCAGACAGCTGTACCAGATCGACCATAGGCATATCGAAGTGTTAAAGTGTATGGACAGTAAGGCTACGATGTCTATCCGAGTACAGACCCAGAGTACGAGACCCATCCCAGTGCAGAAAGATTTAAGACTGGTTGATGTCATATCCCCGACAGTAATACAGTAATTACCAGAGGGAGACTTTGTACAAAAGTCGTTTGCTTGGGCACCTCCGTCCTATTCGTGTCTCTACCGTGAAGCAGTTGTGTTTGCATGGCTGTGTTTCGGTTTGAAGGGTGAATTTACAGGGTACAGAGGAATAACACCTGAGTCCTCAGGAATGGCAACGCATGGAGGGTATCGTGGGCGAAATAGTACACTCTGTAATGTCTATGGTACTGTTCATGTCTATAGGCGTTGGTTACCACTTTCCATTAGGTGGGTCGTCAGCTTGTTTGCCATTCTAAGTTGCATAAAAAAACCTTATAAGATTGCTTATTGCAATTATTCGATTGTAGTAGACAAATTATTGTCTGTCAATAGTATTGCAAATCCGTCTCGTTTATACAATGGTACATAACTTTATTAAAATTCTTGGATAAAATGTAACAAGGATTTTTTTTCGCGCGCGAGTCCATGGATATATCAATGTCTTTGTCTAATCGCTGCAACGGTTTCCAGATTATTTTTAAACACCTCATATATTTCTGTGCATTATATAAATACCAACAAGTTACAGTTTCGTTACGGAGATATTTATAGCAGCCGATCGTATACTATTGGTGATTTATTCCGACGCCCGCTGGCCGCTAAGGTCACATTAGAAATATAAATATTGTAATTAGTTATTTATCTTAAGTAGTGATCATTATGTATGGTAACATTAACATAATATCGGATCGGACGGATCCTTATACGTAATATTTGTCAGATCCGTCAGTATTCTACGACTATGACGATATATAAATAGATAGATAATTTATTTGCATTACTTACAGCACACAAATTACAACATACATACACAAAAAAAAAGCGAGATAACATAAATGATAAAAAAAAAAAATACACAAAGCCAAATACAATTTTCGTTTATGAGTGTGCCATAGCAATACAAAATGGCCACAACTCAGTTTATTGCTTCGCCCTCAAAAGAGCAAAGCACTGATATTCTGTTGCGGCCAAAGACGTATACGAGTACTACGTTCTTCTTAAAACACGAACAATATGAAGAATATTTAATAAAATGAAATATAGAATTGTGATGAAAAAGTTTCATCATCATCGTCATCATCATTTCAATCATTATTCGTCCCTACTTTTTTTTTAATGGGTGATAATGGTATGATTACCCCGTCTGAGCTATCGGTATACGCTGGCGGGGCGCCAGTGATAGATGGCTGATGAAGATGAAAGCAGGTCAGTTAGCCCATCCTGACGAATTTAACTAGAATTAGTCACGATGGTTTCCAGAAGGAACCACGTGGAGGTCGACCTGATAGGGTATATTGCTAGTAACGTGGCTATTTGACCCCATTACTAACAATCCCTTTCTCCTATCTGTCCCCTACTGGACATCCTCCATAGATTGCCTCCTCCATAGACTGCCTCCTCCATAGACTACCATAAGGAGCGGTCCTGAGCCACCTGCATCAACTGGTTGTATGACTATTAGTGGGAGGGGGGGTCAACCTACACTGCGTGGGGGGAAAGGGATTGTTAGTAATGAAGACTGAGAATCCCATTGCTAGCAATATGCCCGACCAGGTCGACCTCTACGCGGTTTCCTCTAGAAACTATCATGGTTAATTCCTGATGAATTCATCATGACGGGCTAACTGGCCTGTTTTCATTCTCATCTATCACCCTTCACTGGTGCTCCGCCAGCGTATCCCGTTAGCGGAGGTGGAGCTGCCATTCCATTTTCATCTATCAAAAAAACCTACACTGCATTTACTTGTACGCGGTCACTACTTAAGAACTATTCTTGTACATATTTGTTGTAATTACGTATCTTGTATTTCTTGTATTGATTGTAATTACAGGCGGTCGTAATAAGTGTAATCGTATTCCCATGTATTATGTTAATTTGACATTTTACCAATTGTTTTTAGAGCGCATGATTATTTATTGAAATATAATGAAGTATTTTTGTATTTTGCCAGACATATACTTCGTGCCGGTGGTGAACTATTTGATCTTCAACTGCGGCGACTACTCCGGCCGGCTGGTCGCCGGCTTCCTCTTAAAGGTAACCAGACTAGTAATATACTACGATAACAAGTTATTCATCAAAGATAGTGTTCCAAATGCTAATCTGTTTTATTTAAAAAAAACTAAGCCAAGTTGAAAATAGAAATCTATTATACTCGAACAAGTTTCGGATTTGCTTTTATACAGTATCCTGTAGAATGGTTGGCTCCAATTTATCTACGTATTAGCAATACGTATTGAGCGTGCGTGTTGTGGCAGCCCACCAACCAGTGGGTGGTGGCGGGCGCGAGCGTGGTGAGGGTGGCGGGCGTGGCGATGCTGATGCTGTGCAACGCGCAGCCGCGGCGGCACCTGCCCGTCGTCTTCCCCTGGGACTGGGAGTACATCATTATCATGATCCTGTTCGCGTTCTCCAACGGGTACCTCACCAACATCATCATGATCAATACTACCAGGTCGGTCTACTCCTGCTGTTATATTTAGATAGATAGATCATTTATTTGCATTACTTACCAGAGGGAGACTTTGTACAAAAGTCGATTGCTTGGGTACCTCTGTCCCATTCGTGTTTCAACCGTGAAGCAGTTGTGTTTGCATAACTGTGTTTCGGTTTGAAGGGTGGGATATGGCGTGAATTTACTGGGTACAGAGGAATAACACCTGAGTCCTCAGGAATGGCAACGCATGGGGGGTATCATGGGCGAAACAGTATACTCTATTATGTCCATGCTACTGCTCATGTCTATAGGCGACGGTTACCACTTTCCATCAGGTGGGCCGTCAGCTTGTTTGCCATTCTAAGTTGTATAAAAAAGACTTACAGCACACAAATAACAACACAAACATACACATAATATATACATAAAAAGAGATAAAAGAATGAAAAACAAAAAAAAAAGCAACTTAAAAAAAACAAGCAATTTTTGTTTTAGAAGTAAATAGAAAGTAGAGTGAGAGATCTATTTATGTTCAAGCTAAGTCCCTTGTGGAATAAACTGCGAGGGTGCAGTGCTAAAGACATTTGTCATTATATAATTTTTGCTTCATCAATACTTCTAACTTCTCCCATGTATCAATCTCTAGTTGTGGAGACTTGACTCCACACATAATTCAGATAGTGATAAACAAAACTAATAAAAGATTAACTCGTCAGTTATTTTTAGTTTGAGCGAGAATTTAAATAAACTGTACAAAACTGAATACATTTTAAACTATAATGTGCTTTCAACTCTATCGCCATACATTTTTATCCAGAAATAAACTGAGAATGAAGTAGTGATTGGTTCTATAGATGTGATTGTTAAATTCATATAGAATATGAAGTCAAATTGTAATTTAAAACTTGTTGACTTTAAAATATATACTTTGATATATGCCACAGTCACGTACAAATATAAGAAATGCCTTCTTTACGCGCTTCATTGAATTATTAAAGGAAAAACAGAAGGACTATAACACGAGCATAATTTATATTCACACTGGAAGCGAAATGGATAACCTTTTGTTATAGGGCAAGATGTAACCACGATCCTCGTTCGATTATTGATCATTGTAGTAATTGTAGTGGCCTTGTAGCTGCGCCGCTATCACACGATCACTACTAGACATTTCAAATCGACTTACTTTTGTTAACGACATTTGAATACTATTTTATGTGATGAACGAATAATACTTACCCCTTAAATACGGTTGTACTCGCTTTTTTTTAATGGTGAAATGGTAACCTTGCCTGCGTTATCGGCATACGCTGGCGGGAGTGAGGATAGGTGAGAATGAAAAGGCAGGTCAGTTAGCCTACCGTGATGAATACGCCTGGAATTCAGCACGATGGTTTCTAGGGGGAAGCACGTGGAGGTCGACCTGACACGGTGAAATGCTAGCAATGGGACTCGTACGCATTGGTAAACTGTGTGTGAGGTGTACGGTGAGTCCGTTCGCTGTGCGAAGTGGTGTAAGGTAGTGTCGGTGCCGGCAGGGCGGTGGCGGCGCACGAGAGGGAACAGGCGTCGTCGCTGCTGGCGGCCGCGCTCAGCCTCGGGCTGGCGGCCGGCGCCGCGGCCGGCCTGCTGCTGGTGCGGCTCGTGTAGGCGGCAGCAGCCATCTACACATGTACACACACTCACGTGCAACACATTATATCACTGGGGTTCACCTAACGCTTCAATTGATGTTTTGTAGTATGTAATTCAATGTAGATCTGTCTGTACAATGCCACACTAGATGTTGTATGCAGCAGATAGAATGCAGCTCAAATATGTAGACCAATAATATTAGCACGACGATCGAGAGTCATGTTATTATAATATAAAAAAAAATAACTTTAGTGTGGTCACCAATCGAGCACTCATCTCTGTGTAACCGTGTACGCCACAACATATCATTTTGAATAGAAAGAGGACGAGGATGAAATAGTTGGTAAAATAGTTTGATAGGAGTAACATATGACAAGGAACAAACGATGCCAATCGGTAGACATGAAGAGATAGAGAAAAACTTCACAAGTCACTATAGATTTGCGATTAGTTCCTCCTGCACGAAAAAAATGTAGCAAATAAATGTAAATATGTGATATGTGATTAAAATGTGGCTAAATAATCCAAAGATATTCCAAAAATGATGTGCCGTGCACATGTGAGTGACGCCGTGAGAAGTCACATTCACATCCGCGTGTAACCTCTCGACGTATGATAATATTGACCGCAACAAATACAAGATATGCGATGCAAGATAAAACATAGGATCCATATTTATGCGGCTACGGTAATACTATAGTTATACTTGTTATAGTTTCGCCAGTGTCCGATAGTTACGCAGCTGCGTGTGCAATGTAGTGTCTCGTTGACCGTGCATCGCTTTACATATTTGTAACAACAAATATTTTTATGTCGTAGCCACAGTTACCAGTTTGTTTGTGTTTGTTTTTAATGTTTCAACATTTTGTTATTATCTGCTGTACACATTCCATGTTATGTTTAGTTTAATTATAGGCCAATTAATAATTATGTTTTAAGTTGTTAGTATTGGATTAATTATAAACGAATTATTGACAAAGATCTGTATAGAACATACCAACAAAGTTTATATATATATATATATATATATATATATATATATATCATTATTATATATATATATATATATGGTAAGCTAGTTTATGTCCGACGGTGCGACGTGGCGGGAACTTTATTACATTTGACATTTTGCAATTAAATTTACGCATCGTTTGCAATGTAAGGATACGATGTGTATAGTTGTGTAATGCGCCTGCGTGCTGCCTGCATCATTTTATTATTGGACGCCACGTGCCGCCGTCTCGATGTGACATGTGTGTATGTCGTGTTCAGGGAACTCTTAGAGTCGTTGCCGAGCTCTTGCCTGCTGTGCTGCTGTGTCGTGCTTCGTGGGATCACGGATAAATGTCTATATCATACAGTTATATACGAGTACAGTTGATAAAAAAACATATTCAATGAATATGAGAGAAAATGGTGCCATATGCACTTGGTTTCTGTCTTTCCTTGAAAAAAAAAAGAAACAAATTTGATCCTTTGACTTAATTCTTGATGCCTATATGCATACATAGCGGGAATTTAACAAACTTACTGTTTGTTGTATTATTAGCATATAATAAGAATTAATTTAACGAGAACCTAGTTCAATATAATTAGTTCATTTAGCACGTGACGTGTAATGATATAAATATTTTATAACTTCGCTACGCGTGATAGAAGGACGAGTGCGACGGCGGCTAAGGACATTTTACTTTATTATTTTTGTCAACTGTACTTATATAGGTATATAATGTACAACAACGAGATACATTTTTAACATGAATGAAACTCGCGTGATCTTTATATGTATCTTTTTGTGATATTACATGTATTGTTAGTACGTAAGTAATTTATCAAATGTACCTATCCCAATAGGAATCGAGTGAAACGCCATGTTTTTAGTAGTGGTGTCGATGTTTCTTGCAATTATTAATTATATATTAGAATGAATAAATATTTTATTGTAAATAGTGTAAGAGAAGCTGCAAAAATAAATTCAGAACTAAACATAGGTGGCTACATTATTAATCAGTTTTAAGAGTAACGTATCCAATAGATATTTGTATGAAGGAGTTTTTGAATCGTGTACAAAATAGAAACTGGTGTGACGAGTTAGCGTCGGTAGCTAGTATTGAATTTTAAATAATAACTCGGTTACACATTGTTTAACATATAATTGGTCATCAATTTTATTAGCCTACTCTGGTGAACACAACGCTTTAGATCCGATGTTTCGATTCCTACTGGAGACAAAATCGACTGAGTGCAGCGGGCGTCACATTACACCCGTCTGTCCAGTGACGTTCGCTGCTTATGTCTATAAGCAATGGTTACCATGCTCCACCAGGTGGCTAGTTTAGTTTGTCATTTACAATAGTATATATTTTAATTTACCACAAAGTGTGTCTGTACTTATTGTACACACCCATCTCCTGATGTAATCCAATAGTTTTGTTGAGTTACGCATTAATAAAATACATTTATGTACTATTGCAATGTTTCATTTCGTATTCAAAGCCTATGTAACTTTCTGACATACTGTCTTTACTGAATTTCAAAATACCAGGCGAGACTACAAGTATTCTATATGGATACAGATGTATTTCAAGAGGGGAGGAGGCGAAGGGAGCGAGTCTGTTTTTTGCAGAACGTATTTATTTTTAACTAGCGACCCGCCCCGGCTTCGCACGGGTGCATATTACTTCACATCACATTAGAAACCTTTAAATTTATCAGTGTTTCTCTACTACATTATGCATGTATTATACATATAAACCTTCCTCTTGCATCACTCTATCTATTAAAAATCGCTTTAAAATCCGTAGCGTAGTTTTAAAGATTTAAGTATACATAGGGACGGACAGACAGCGACAGCGACTTTGTTTTATACTATGTAGTGATGATTAAATTGTGTTCCACAAACAAAACTAACATCAATTGTGACAAAACCAGTTATTCTGATTTTAAAACTAAACTACTAAAGCAATGTTGATAAAATTTGTATGGGACCAATCTGTAAGTATATCCTTCCAGAAAAAAAAAATCCAAATCGGTTACAACTGACCGATTTAGACCAATAAACATAAAAAAATACAACCGGATTGGGAAATTCCTTTTTGAAGTCGGCTGAAAAATTACCGGCCGGTAAAAGTGGTCATGGTATTCCATTCTTATCGATTTTATATTGTTGAAGCATGACATGTGACCACAGCATCCCGAGTGAACACAAGGACAATATGGTCCATGAACGCAAGTATTTTTGGCACAATGGTAGCAATTGGTAGAATAGAATAGAATACCAGAAGGAGACTTTGTACAAAAGTCGATTGCTTGGGGACCTCTGTCCCATTCGTGTTTCAACCGTGAAGCAGTTGTGTTTGCATGGCTGTGTTTCGGTTTGAAGGGTGGGATATGGCGTGAATTTACTGGGTACAGAGAGGAATAACACCTGAGTCCTCAGGAATGGCAACGAATGGGAGGTATCATGGGCGAAACAGTATACTCTGTTATGTGCATGGTACTGCTCATGTCTATAGGCGACGGTTACCACTTTCCATCAAGTGCGCCGTCAGCTTGTTTGTCATTCTAAGTTGTATAAAAAAAAAAGAATAAATATTTAATGTGAGCTATACATTATATTTTTTCGTAAGGTGTTATTAACGTTTTAAAAGAAAACACAGCCGACCCATACATCGGGCATACAATACAATTAGCTACATAACATTAATTATTTTACAGTCATACAATAAATCGTCAATAAAGTTGAAAATAGAATAAAGTACGTCAATAAACAGCTACACACCCACGGTGGAAACAATGTTCGCCTTGCACCACTTGCCGGACGAAGGACGCCCGGTACAATGCAAACGGCGGTTTTTGGAGGGAAAGGGATTGTTAGTAATGGAGACTGAGAATCCTATTGCTAGCAATATACCCAACCAGGTCGACCTCCTCGCGGTTCCCCCTGGAAACTATCATGGTAAATTCCTGATGAATTCATCATGATGGGCTAACTGGCCTGTTTTCATTCTCATTTATCACCCTTCACTGGTGCCCCGCCAGCGTATCCCGTTAGCGCAGGCGGGGTTACCATACCATTTTCACCCATCAAAAAAAAAAATGCAAACGACGCTGTTCATGTCTATACAGGACGGTTGAGCGTTGTCATTTTCCATTACATGATTTTAATCAGGTGATGTGAATTTCACTTTTTTTATACAACTTAGAATGGCAAACAAGCTGACGGCCCACCTGATGGAAAGTGGTAACCGTCGCCTATAGACATGAGCAGTATCATGGACATAACAGAGTATACTGTTTCGCCCATGATACCCCCCATGCGTTGCCATTTATGGAGACTTAGGTGTTATTCCTCTGTACTCTGTAAATTCACTGCTATATCCCACCCTTCAAATTGAAACAACTGATTCATGGTAGCAACACGAATGGGACAGAGCTGCTCAAGCAACCGACTCTTGTACAAAGTCTTCCTCTGGTACCTTCTACATTTCTGTAGGTCGCCAATTACTTCTGTTGCCATAAACAATGCTGTGACGTGTGCGAATGTAATTTATCGAGGAGATTCGAACAAGCGGTGGAGGAATCGTAAAATTAAAAACAAATTATAATTTTATAAACCGTTTATTACAAAATGAAATATACAAAAACATCATAAAATCTATGTACTTTAACAGCTAACCACAATATTGGACCATATAAATTCATCTATATTATTAAAAAAAAAAAACTAAGTACAAATAGAAATTACCATGATCCCTGATTAGTCTAACAGAAAACATGAACGGCAATGGAGAACACAACGTTACACGTTCCCCATGACCGCCCACGTCGTGTGTGTGACAATGCATCCGCCGCTCGGAGACGGCATAAGGCAAGCCGTAAGGCAAGACGTGTGAGCAAGTCCATCCCTATCATAATCATCATCACAGCGACAGGCCATCGTTCGTCAACACTATCGCTAAATAAATACATCAGATCTTATAGCAATATTACATTTGTAAATATTTTGGCCAATTCCACTCGTGTCTACGGTAACAACACGGTAGTGTACTGTTTTCCTGTTGCACCGAGTGTCTCCAGTGTAAATACAAGGCCGCCCGTGTATATTGTCTTATATTGTGGGACACGTGTGTAAATCTATTCATTGCAAATGTTTCATATCACAAAGTTATCACATATAAATTTAAACATCAGGAATGGTTACGTACTAACCGGAGCGACGAGACTTGATACGGTAACGGAATGTAATATCCAATCCGGCGCTATATCCACTGCTGCGTCGGTCAAGTGTACAATGTTTGTGACCAAATTATTATTGCTTATAATAAAATATAATTGTTATTTATAATTATAATTATGTCGCTCGAGTAATCGTAATCAAAAGGCAGATAATATGTTTACATATCAGGCACTTAGTAATTGGCTATCGTTCTCTACAATAAATTGTCATGTTACAACTTCACAAAACCTCCCCCTCCTCCTCCTCCCCCCACACTAGCCGAGTGTTGGAATCCAAGGTCGCAGTAAATCCTATCTATTCGAATTAACGTCGACTATCACAACAACTGCGAATAAACGTGACTTTAACTAAGGCGATTGTAACTCTCCTACATTAAAACTACGCCTCATACACTTAACATGAAGGAGTTCCAACCGACAACCTTAAAACGTAAAACCTGTCTTTGTATTTAGTCTTATATAATACATTACAAGTATAAATTAAGTGTCTAAGCTCCGACTTTTAATTCGATGCAAAAATAATGTTGCCAGCTTATTCTGTCAGTGACGTGCCTCAGTACAGTTGACATGTACAACTCGACTCTCACCGAGAAATAATAGTAATTCTCTAGTTCGAATCTATCCAGTATTTTATTAGATAAGTTTAAAACTTATGGTTAGCAAGAATAAATGAAGATGTCGGTAGGGGACGCCCTAGACGGACGTATGCCGAACAAATAGGCGACGTGCTGAAGAAGGGCCAAATTAAAAGTACCCGTAACCGGCGAGCGTATATGAAAAGATTGATGAATGCGGAAGAAGCGAAAGAGGTTTGTTTGGATCGAAGCATTTGGTGTTCTATTGTATCTGCCTACCCTAATGGGAGACAGGCGTGACAGATATGTATGTAAACTTATGGTTTAAAATACTATCAGTTTCGAGGCCTACTGTTTTCAGCTGCTTTTACAAGTTGTGTTTATGGCATCACTATTTTTGAACATCACAAGCTGGCAACACTAACAGTCGTTTGTGAGCACGGAATCAAAGGCAGGCGGCGCAGGTGCGCGTCTACCTGGTGGACTTGAGTTTCCAGCGCAGGAACAGGAAGGCGGATATACGCAGCACCACGAATATGAGGCACAGCGCGGCGATGTCGAGCGTGAAGTCCGCTTCCAGCATGTCCAGTTCCTCCAGCGTCGTTTGCGGGTTCTTGAAGTGGCAGTACACCTGGAGACCAATACAAGCGGCATCACATTACCGGCTAAATGGATCAAAATGGAATGCTAACCCCGCTAGTGTCACTGGCTCTATCAACCTTGTATTATTGGCGGCGTACTCATAAGTGATGACGGGTGAGGTGAACATTAATTTGATGAGCTTTGAGATGAACCTGACTATGGAGTCAGGTCAGTTGGACCAAATTAATGTTTCCACGGGGGACATGATAGTGAAATGATACCCTAATACTTATTTATTGATCATCAAATTGAAGAGTCCAAGATTGTATTTTAAAATTTTTATTTTACAGGGATCGAACCTACAATCATCGCTAGGTAAGCTGGTAGACCATCAGGATTTTTTAATGGATGGCAATGGAATGGTAACCTCGGTTGCGCTAACGGTATACGCTGGTGAGGCACCAGTGATGGATGATAGGTCAAAAGGAAAGGTAGGTCAGTTAGCTCACCGTGATGAATACACTAGGAATTCAGCACGATGGTTTTCAAGGGAAACCACGTGGAGGCGGATCTGACAGGGTGTATTGCCAGGAATGGGACTGTCTCTTTCCCCAAAGACTATTGGAAGGTGATGTGTCGCGAGTGAGATGCGGGGTATACCTGGTGGCACTGCAGCTTGGCGCGGTCGAAGGAGTAGGTGGCGAGCGCGGTGCCCTCGAAGCCGTAGCGGATGTAGGACAGGTAGGTGATCCAGCGCAGGTAGCGCGGGATGGCGTTGAACGACACGAAGAACCCGCTGAACAGCAGGAACGGCACCGACATCACCGGCGCCAGGAACACGCCGTTCTGGGGAGGAGCGGGCGCTCGCGTTACATCACCGCTCACAGCGGGCGGACATACTTTATATACAATGTAGTGGGACCTTCTCTACATCTGGTTTGTCAGTTAGCCCTCCATAATTGTGCTTCACAAAAAATACCAACTTTAATTGTGACATAAATAGTTACTTCGATTTAGGAACTAGGTTACTGAACCGATTCTGATAAAAGTTACCAAGTCAGTTTACAAGTGACGAAGTAGTGAGGTATCAAGCTTAAGCGAGTAATGTATGGAGTGGACAAGTCCGTGCGTGTGGCGTGGTACCTGCACGCTCATGGCGGCGCCGACGACGAGGCCGACGCTCTGCGCCACGAAGGAGATGAGCAGGCACGAGCACAGGAACATGGCGAAGCGCGTCCACTCGGCCGGCTGCGACGTCAGCAGGTACACGATCACCACGTACATCACGCAGAATATCGCCTGCCGCACACGTGCATGCCATCCGCCACATTAATAAACAATACTTCAACAACAACAACAACAACTTCAGTACGAACTCAAAATCTGTTATAGTTTTGACCTTGATCAAACTAAATTTGATCTTGAATTTATTAGAGATCACAAAAAACAGTGGCATTAATAGAACGAGAGTAAAATATAGCAATATTTTGTGTGTGTGTGTGTTTTTTTTTTTATTTTTTTGTACATTTATCTTTTTTTTATCTTTTTTCACTGTACATTTGTGTCTGTTGCTGTTTGTGTGCTGTAAGTGATGCAAATAAATTATTTATCTATCTATCAATTGAAAAATATAATCGATCCAGATTTAGCGTAACTATTGGATAATATAAAAAAATAATTTAGAGCCAATAATTTAAAGTCATCGTTCAATTTAAGCGAGATTGAAGAAGATATGTCGTCATTATGTAAGGTTATTTTTTTGTTATTAGTACCCAACTATGACGCAGGACAGGGAAGGTACATGTTCGAACAAATTAAACAACTGTCAATGTTAGTGACACCTTGTTTGTTTAAGTCTAGAATTATAAATTATAGCATAGGTATTCAAATGAAGCCAGTAAAATGAGATAGTACATACATACACACACGTGTGGTGTATGCAAGCAAAGTGAATGTTTACGGCGTACCTGGAAGGGTATGTCGGAGACGGTGATGGCGAGGTAGTAGGAGCGCAGCGAGTACCAGCGGTTGAAGTGCTCCTTCACCAGCACCGGCATCTCGAGCGGGACTGCGGCCGCACAACACACACACCGTCAACAACACATGTAGTGAACAACGCACGGTGTACTAAGAAACAATTCAAATTCTGCCCATTTTGAACATTTTTCCTCAATCGACCATAGTGGATAGGAATTTTGATTTTTATATATAAATAAACTTTCAACAATAATTTGTAAATTGCCTGGTGTCTAGTTGTAAATGAATGTTCAACCCATCGAGTATTGTTAGGAATAAATTCTAACAGCCCCATCGGAAGTAATATATTCAGTCAGGTCGACCTCCACATGGTTCTCCCTGGAAACCATCGTGAATAATTCTTGTTGAATTCGTCACGATGGGCTAATTGACCTGCTTCATCCTCACGTACCACGTATAACATGGTGCCCCGCCGGTGTATACCGATAGCGCGGGCGGAGTAACTATTTCATTATCACCCATAAAAAAAGGCAGGGTCACCAGACAATTTCATTATAAAAAGAATATATAGGTAGAAGGTACTCACAGCTGAGAATGGTGATGGTCATGGAGGTGTACATGAGGAACAGCATGTTGAAGAAGAGGAAGCCGAGGTTGGAGAGCACCTTGGAGCCGTCGTCGCCGATGTCGTAGTAGAGCGCGCCGATGAGGAAGCCGACGAGGATGTGCGCGAACAGCCGCAGGTACATGAGCGTCCAGTCGCGCTTGCTGAACAGCAGCGTGCGCTTCAGCACCACCCAGAACTGCCGCAGCTCCGACGTGGCGTAGCGCCGCGGCCCGGCCGCCGCCGCGCCGCCGCCGCCCAGCAGCGCTGCCGACGCGTTGTCCTGCTTCTCCAGCTCCGCCTTCTCCACCTGCACCACCAGCGCCTCGCCGCCGGCTGCAACGCACAACAACTCGTAAGCGAACTCAACTTATTACCAATCATGCAATTTCATTTTGGGCTTTTTTATTCAAATTAGAATGGCATACAAGCTGCCCGCCCATTTAATGAAAAATTATTATTAATTTCGAAATCTGAAATGGAAATAATTAAATTTTGAAATGGCAACGCATGGGGGGTATCATGAGCGAAACAGTATACTCTGTTATGTGCATGGTACTGCTCATGTCTATAGGCGACGGTTACCACTTTCCATCAGGTGGGCCGTCAGCTTGTCATTCTAAGTTGTAAAAAAAATCTGTGTTATATACACGTATTTAAATTAACGACAGGGACTTCGTGCGACGCGATCATAGCTATTTACCTACTAGGTTATTGCCTACACATCTATTTCTTGATGGTAATACGTGATACAAACATGTAACCTGTCCTTCATATGTTACCATTGTAAAGGGCGACAATGTTATGCCTCTGTATCCCATCCTTCAAACCAAAACATACAACCATGCAAGTATGGCTGCTTCACGGTGGAAACACGAGTGGGACAAACATACCTAAACAAATGACTGTGGGAGGATTGTTAGTAATGAGAAATACCAGTCCCACTACCAATATACCCTATCAGGTCGACCTCCACGTGGTACCCTATGGAAACCATCGTGTCGAATTCCAGATATATTTATCACTATCTGCTAATTGACCTGTCCTTTCATTCTCACCAATCACCCTTCACCCCGCCAGCATATATCGTTAGCGCGGGCGGGGTTACCATTCCATTATCATCCATTAAGAAAAAGCAAACGCTTACTGTACTAGTGTCGTTCGAAAATATAAATAGATTCCTATATATATATATATATTAAAGGAAACATAGAAAAACAAAATGTAAATAAAAAAAAAAACTGAAAATTACAATTGTCTTATTTTGGCTTCATCTTCGTAATAAGACGCTAAAGCCTGCCAGCCAGCAGCCTCGTAGATAATACGCGACGTGGTTTAATTGCGCGGCTAGCGAGCATTTATAATGTACTAGTGGCATCGAGTTAACAATTAGCTGTAGTAATGTGTCCGTCAGTTACGTATTTAGGGCCTACTGAAAATCAGTGTCGTAGCTTCAGATTTGAAACTGCGACATATGCCGAGTTAGGTCCTTTGCACAAACACTGCTACATTCATTTTGTTTTTTATATGTTTTTCTTGTTATTTTAAATTAAAAGTAAAATAGTAATGTTATTATATAATTGTGTAATCTTCACCTCAACTACCTTCTACTTTGAATTGTCAATACTTTATTGGCACCAGGTCCCCCTGGTGTCTAAGATACAAGTTACGACTTAGTTTAGGCTCCACATCTCCCGCAAATTACGATACTTTCATTTTGTATAAAGTAAATTGTAATATTATTATACATTGTAATTTGTGGAGATAATTAAACTAATTTTTATATTTTTTTTCATTATTATATTGTTTTGTTATATGTAACATGTATAATTTATATTATTTCTCTTAAAGAGATATTATGTAAATGAAAAGTTTGTTTAGTGTATGTGTAAATAAATAAATAATAGTATCCGAGCCGCGTCGCCTGCCAACAGGAAGCGTCGCGTCGCCGCGCGGACCTTTGCCCTCGCTTATCTCGTGTATTCGCATCGACCTCACATTACGCGTTAACTTCACATCCATGCCAATGGATTATGTAGCTTTGTACATAGATAACAGTCTAACATTCGTTTTTTTTTTGTACTACATAATGTCATCAACATTATATTAGCTTTTAACTGCTGAACATAACCCCTAGGACGGTATCCAACCAGGTCGACCTCCTCGCGGTTCTCCCTGGAAACTATCATGATTAATTCCTCATTAATTCATCACGATGGGCTAACTGGCCTGTTTTCATTCTCATCTATCACTCTTCACTGGCGCTCCGCCAGCGTATTCCGTCAACGCAGGCGGGGTTACCATACCATTTTCACCCATAAAAAAAACTCCTAGAACGGTTTTGCCCGTAGTCGCCACGCTTGGCAGGAGAATTGGCAACCGCAGTTAGGCTTTAGAGCTGTTTTAAGAGGGACGCTGTTGTCCATCTTTCGCCCTCCCTTAGTCGCCTCTTACTACACCCATGGTAAAGGAAGGGGTGGCCTATTCTATGCCGGGACCACACGTGGTAATATTACATAATGTATAAATACATTAATGTCTGATATAAGAGAAGATATATATATATATATTTTAATAGTTGTAGAAGCAAATCCATCGTAGATTGCCACTCAATTGATGTATTTGTTTACAGCAATAAAGCGAACCTCGCGGCCGGCGCACGTTTCAAATTGACGTAGCATCGTGCGGACACTGTGCGCTGTACACTTGTTCACGTCCTTCGCTGTCTGATATAAAGATCGAGCCAGTGATCTTAAATACAATTTGTTTTGTCCAATACTATGAACATTATATGAATGTTTGGACGATTACGCTTAAATTCGTCATACAGAGTATCCTACATTTATTATTTTCATTGTAATTCATACAGAAAAAGCTGGTAAACTAGTACAAATTTTTTTATACAAACATTTGGAAATCGTTTTAAGTAAGTTTTTGTATATTTTTGCAAATATCTGTTATTATTGATTTATTAAACAGTTCCCGTTTGTAACAATTTGCAATTAGGGATGTAAAATATGATAGTTTCGGTTGGAAACACACAATTCGGCTGTAAATTTACCATATACTTAAAATATATAAAGAGAATTGTTAATAATCGAGTTACACAATCTAATCTGCGCACGCACATGTCTACTGTCACTATGAGGACGTTATAAAGTTCATGTTATCAAAGGAAGTTACTGTACAAAAGTCATCTATTTTGTTTGGTACTTCTGTCCCAGTCGTGTTTCTTCCGTGAAGTAATTACGCTTACATGTCTGTATTTTATTTTGAAGGGTAAAGTAAAGGAGTGAAATTAACTCTTCTTTGCATAATGGTGGAAATTTTCATCATAACATTGAATGGCCAAAAATGATATAAAAGACCAAGTTCACTTTAAGTTGATCGTGTCTGGATACCTTTTTAATGTCCATTGCAATAACAAAACATAGCTGTCAAATTTATTTTTTAACCATATTTCCTTGACTTATTTCACCAATAAAAAAAATCATGCAAAGAAGGGTTAAGGATTTCGGAGGCATAATACCGCAGTCCCTAGGGAATGGTAACGTATGAGGGTTACTGTAGGCATTTCAGTATTGAGCGACATTTGTGGTGCTGTTCAGCCTTCCCCTCCTTTCTGACAAGTGATAAACTATAATCGATGGATTTGTTTCGTTTAGTTCTCGCGTGAGAAAGAATAAGCCTGGCCGTTGCCATTTGATTCTGTCTCATGAGCTCACTAGCTCTGACTATTCTATCGATAACTTGTTTGCCACTTTCCACCCGATGAGCTGTCACGAGCTAACTTTGTCCCAATGAATGTGTAAGGCACCTTTCCCCTTGGCGAGCTCTGTGTGCGCGTACTGCAGCAGCAGGCCGTTGTGCAGGGCGCCGTTGCCGCCGCCGTTGTTGTCGCGGCCGCCGTCCTCCTGGAACTTTTCCTGCGCGTGCGCCAGCTCGTTCTTGTTGTGCTCCACCTTCAGCGACTGCTCCATGTCCTTCTTGTTGTTGTAGTCCGGCACCTTCACCTCGGGGAACGGCACACCATTCCTGGAACGTCGTTATTGGAATTAATGAGAGAGAGCGAGATGGAATACACTTTGTAGGCACCATACAAAAATAATATCACATATGTAGACTATTTGGTATGAGTGTATCGAAGAGGCCTTATAACTGTAAAGAAATTTATTCTGGGCAGATTTTGAGTAACAGAGTGGACGTTAAGTAGGAAAAATGTATCAAATGATATTTTCTATATACTGGGACGGTGAAATTACAGTATACAGAGGCTTAAAATCTTAGTTCTAAGGAATGACAACTGAGAGGTGTGAGTGTACTGTGGGTGCCACAGTGTATTTTGTAATGTGTATCAGTGATGGTTACTACTTCCTACTAGGCGGGTCGTCGGCTCGTTTGTCATTCTAAGCTACATGAAACAAATATCAGAAAGTTTATGAAATATGCGTTAATTAGTGAATAATAAATGGTCAGTGAAGCCGCGTACTCGCGCGCGTGGTGGCGAGCTCACCTGATGTCGTTCTGTCCGTTGTTGATGGCTCGCACGAGGCGGCCGGTGTGGTCGCCGTACTCGCCGCACGACACCTCGATGATGAACGACGCCGGGTTGTGGTACGACGGACACTGCAGGTTCAGGCTGCCCAGCCAGTCCACTGCGGGGGGAAACGTTTGTTAGTAGCTTGCTAGCAATATACCTTATCAGGCCAACCTCTGCGTTGCCCCACCTGTATTCCTAGAAAATTGGTCACGGTGGGCCAAATGATATGACTTCATCCTTCACTGTAACTCGGCAAACCAATTTAATTTCAAAACTCATCACTTTCACCTTGTACATTTGTTTGGCATTCTTACATGCTCTATTCTATTTTTAAATAGGAAGTTATTGCATTATAGTGTTGAACTTGCACTACCGCAGTACTGTTAGTATCGATTGCGTCACACTATTGTAGTATTGTTTGTAGTAACCGGTTGATAAAATTACAAAACACATTTGTAGAAGGTTTCTTTGATTACAAACTTGATTTACACCTTTATTTACTTTATAATACATATATCAAAATAATTATCTTTTTCTATCTACGGAAATATACAAAAAAGTTGAAATGACTGGTTCTAGAAACATGAAATATTTTACTTGATAAGACAATAACATGGAAAGAGGCAACTTTACCGCCGTCTCTCGAGTTATTTGATTTGGTTTTTTGGTGAAATTTTTTAAATTTTAAATTGTCAGTGTTTGGTATTGAACTTACGATTGTAAGCTGAGTAGTACACCATTATTTTACCCAAAGGAAAAAAAAATGGGACATAAATAAAAGAAGCACTCGGCAGATATTTATAAGGCAAGAGACAGACGTCTGTATTGATATAAACTCTCACCTAATTGTCCGGTGTTCCCTTGGTACACGCACTGTCCGTCGGCCAGCGTGTACAGCTGATCGAACATCTCGAACAACCTAGCGGACGGCTGGTGGATGGTGCAGATGATGGTGCGGCCGCCGCGCGCCAAGTCCTTCAGCAGCGAGATGCACTGGAAGCACGACGAGCTGTCCAGACCCGAGGTGGGCTCGTCGAAAAACATGATCGGTGGATTGTTGACCAACTCCAGGGCGATCGACAGCCGCTTCTTCTGCCCACCCGACAGGTTCGACGTCATCGTCTTCTGGTGCTCCAGCAGGCTGAGCGTGTCCAGGATCTCGTGAATCTGAAATTGACATATTATTAGGAGCATTCATGATGATTCTGATCTATGATAATGTGGAATTACATAATTTATTCTAACGATACAATCCTCAGAAAACGGTAATGATTTGTCGAAATAGCTTCAGTAGCTAGTTACTGAGGAATTTACCCTATATTGTTTTATTGCGAATTCAAATTGTACCAGTGAGGACTAAACAAATTGATCCTTCGAGCCGGATTTTAGGGCTTTAGAATGGGAGACACGACATTTTTTATCGACCTGTGTTTTTTTGGTGAAAATGTTCAGTTTTACTGGTAGTAACTCTAGAGGATGCTTTCATGTTGATTTCCGTGTCATGTATATAAATATACAAATTGTTACGTTTACGTTTGAAATAGCCGTTGCAGCCTTTTAAGACCTAGTTTCATGTTATGAGAGTGATTCATGGTGACCCACTCCCAGAAGGCATAAACATAATAATTCGACAGCTTTGGCATGCTAGTGTTTACATACTACGCTATTAGAATATCAGCGCTAATAACAGCGGGTAATGGGTCCGGAAATTTAGGCGTTATGTTAAGATAGGAACCCTTCCGAAATTTTTTCCCGTTATTATGAGTACACAGTGAATTTACAGGGTACAGAAGAATAACACCTGAGTCCTCAGGTTGGCAACACATGGGAAGTTTTATGGATGAAATAGTATACTCTGTTATGTCCATGGTACTGGTCATGTCTAAAGACGACGGTTACCAATTTCCATCAGGTGGGCCGTCAGCTTGTTTGCCAGTCTAAGTTGCATAAAAAAAAACGTATTTCTAACATGAAGCTGTTTCGTGGCCAACCAATGTTTTCCACTCCATTCTATTACATTAAAAAAAATATTGTTTGTAACCATGTTTGACCCCAGTGCCTTACACTCAGTGTGGTGAGGTAAGGTCTATTTATAGCGAGCTACAATACACTATAATATACGCAATGAAAAATATTTGTACAATTTTATATGTTCACAGATTAAGTTGGTAAAGTATTACGTGCAGTGTGTCGCCCGCTATTACATTGTGGCAACCGCGACGGGGAAAGTCGGTTTTTATTGCTAGTATAAAAAAGTTTGTCACAATGTCTGCATGTCTGCTCAATCATGCTGAACAGATGTGAATATAATTTGGACGATTTCCGTGGCACTGATAGGCAAGGAGTGGTGTTGCTTTACGTAATGAGGTTCCTGCTTCGATTGCTAATCGGGCCAACTTGAGATATGAAATTTTCTGAATAGGCTCACGTCTGGGTGTTCTGGATTATATCACTAGATAGATGCCTGGTTCCTCATACCACACGGCATCCTTGCTTGACGACGTGTGAATGTGTGACACTTAATAATATTATAATTATCCTGTATTAAAGGATAATTTTATCCTAATTAATGTGAATAAAGCCGCGGATTTCAGCTAGTGAAATCATCTTGTTATCTCGTATGATAGTAATGGCGTGCCAGCTTTAATATCTGAGACATGCCGACGTTAATAGTTTTATTTTTTATACAACTTAGAATGGCAAACAAGCTGACGGCCCACCTGATGGAAAGTGGTAACCGTAGCCTATAGACATGAGCAGTACCATGGACATAACAGAGTATACTGTTTCGCCCATAATACCCCCCATGCGTTGCCATTTCTGAGGACTCAGGTGTTATAGTAAAGACTAACTTGGAACTTGGTTGGTTCCTAGAGTTTCTGAAGCACGATTCAGCACATACCATTTCCTCCTTCACCGTCCTTGTGGTTGAGCTGGGCAACTTGAGGGAGGTGGCCACCTCCATGGCCTCCTCCACCGTGAGGTTTCCGTGTAGCTGATTGTCCTGCATGATGTAGCAGGACAGCTTCCGGAAACTGGACAGGTTCCGCTCCATGCCGTTCACTGTGATGCTGCCTTCCATGCCCGAGGTCCTGGCGAGAAATGTACGTATCGTTTATTAAAATGACTATTATCTTAATGTGGAGAAAAGAAACTGTTAGCAAGAAAGTCTAACAGTCTTATAATTAGTACTGTGCCCTATCTCAAGTCGACCTCTGCACGGTCGTCCCTGGAAACCATTGTAGTTTTTTTAATGCATAAAAATGAAATGGTAACTCCGCACGCGCTTTCGGTGTACGCTGTCGGAGCACCAGTGAGAATAAGTGAAGATGAAAGCAGATCAGTTGGCCCATCGTGACCAATTCATCAATAGTTAAGCACGATGGTTCCCAGGGAGAATTGCGTGTAGGTGGACCTGTAAGGGCATATTGCTAGCAATGGGGCTGTTAGCACTGTTCTCACCTATCATCATTCACTGGTATCACTGGTTCTGCTGGTCACCCGCCAGCGAATACCCGCAGGGGTTATTTTTATTAATACCATTTTCATGCCTTTTAAAAAAACAATACAGTGTTATGAAATGTTAATGTAAGGTGCAAGGCCGTGTAATCTGTGATGTCGATGGTGCTGTTTCCACCTTGCAAGCGACTGTTTGCATGTACCATATATAAAAATATCGCTGGCAGCGGTTTGTGTATGTATGTTGTACATCAGGCAAGGTTTGTTAATAGTTATTAATTATAAAAATAAGCAGACTGATACGCTGGCGAATTACCTTACATAACGCGTCTATCACAGAAATACAAAACAGATACGTAGTGGGTTTTTTTTAATGGATTATAATGGAATGGTTACCCCGCCTAACGGTATACATTGGCGGGGCACCAGTGAGGGATGATAGATGAAGATGAAGCTGGTCAGTTGGCCTATAGTGACTAACAATAAATCAATCACAATAGTTTCCAGGGGAAACGGCGTGGAGGTCGACTTGATAAGGGTATATTGCTAGCAATGGTATTGTTAATTCCCATTACTACCAATCCCCTCTACTCCCCCCCCTAGTGGGATGTTAAATATTGAATAATTACAGATTGCTAACAACAACCTTATTTTTAAGCAAAATACTTGGCCTAATGTAGTACTACCGTTTGGGAAGAGTTTATTAGAAATGCGAACTACCAGTCCCATTGCTAGTAATGTACTCTGGCAGGTCGACCTCCACGTGGTCTCCTTTGGAAACCATCGTGCTGAATTACAGGTGTATTCATCACGATGGGTCAACTGATCTGCATTCATCTGCCCTCACTGGTGTCCCGCCAGCATATACCGTTAGCGTAGGCGAGGTTACCATTATATTATCATCTATTAAAAAAAAACCACAGTACTACTCCAGCAAGCTGTAACTACGCGAGTGCGGCCTAGTAATGGTCTACACAGTATTAACAGCGGGCAAAGGTTATTGTATAAACATACTCGTATGGTAAACATTTTTATTTATATTCCGAGATGGTTATTATCATTTGTAGTCAAGGACGCGATACCCTCTACCGGTTCGTCCGCACACATCCATCAGTAATCGATGGAAACGTGTTTGTTTAGGAAACGGTCAAGTGGGAGCGTTTCGTTAAAGCAGTATTTTTCAACCTTTTTTTTGACACGACGCCCCTAGTATGATAAAATATTTCGCGAACCCCGACTTATTGTTTTGTTAATTTGTAAATACAAATGTTTTAATTATCATCATTCTTAATAAATCTATCTTTATAACATTGTTTTTTTTTTACTAAGGGAGTTTTCGCAACCCCCTTATAGAGGCTCTGCAGTGTTTCCAACCCACACGTTGAAAAACACTGCACTAAAATCTCCAAGTTGTAGTCAACGGTATATTGATACGAGTCCAAAATAAAAACACGCTGCCTTTTTTTATGCAACTTAAAATAACAAACAAGCTGACGGCCCACCTGATGGAAAGTGGTAACCGTCGCCTATAGACATGAGCAGTACCATGGACATAACAGAGTATACTGTTTTACTCATGATACTCTCCTATACGTTGCCATTCCTGAGGACTCAAGAGTTATTCCTATGTACCCTTTAAATTCACTGCCATATCCCACCGTTCAAACCGAAACACAGCCATGTAAACACAACTGCATTACAGAAACACGAAACACGAATGGAACAGAGGTGCCCAAGCAAAAGATTTAACTATATGACTAAATATGGACGGTGACCAGGATCAGAAATTTGGGGTAGGTTTATGTAGGAGGAACTATGTAATATAACAAAATATTTGTTAATTTACATACAAGTAAAAAGTTATAATTGAATTGCCTCTGTTCAGCAGTGGACGGACAATGGCTGAGATAATGATGATTCAGCTGCCAAAATTGACCTAGTATTCAAATTAAGATGTTAGCTGAGTCTCTACGAGGGTACATGTTAAAACTGTATTTTATTAATTAATTCTATTAAAATATATATGTCAAACAATTAAACTTAATCGATCTATCATCACGCCGTATCCCTTAAGAGATAGGCATATACAGCACTGAGAGCCAGAAGTCTATATTTCTTTAATAAGACGTTTTATGTAAACACGTCCATTTTAGAGACTGCGTTACCGAGATTCTACACTGTGTACTTACAAGTTCTGTATATGTAATAATATAATAAAAATTTATGATTGAATCCGTTACCTACTCGTAAGACATTATATCCGCTACTTAAATCATTATAACATAAAGGTTATTGTGTAACATAACCAAGAGTACACGCTTACTTGCTCGACATATAAATGCTAATCCAAAACAGAGGTTCCATACTTGTCGCAGACATTGAAGGATTGTGGAATAACCCGTGTGAATGGAAGATAACCGATTGCTCGCGACGAAGCTGTGGATTTTCCTTCTACGAGTATAGGCATTGACGATTACACAATTACATTAGTGGACCCTACTCCAAAAAGAAACACATGAATGAAAGATATGAAATGTTCAACAATCGTTTTGGTACTCCAACTCATATTTTTACAGGTTTCTGTTTGAAAGGAAACTGGAAGGATAAACTGGAGTATGCTGTGTTTTTAGGAACCATACAAAAAACACCTGGGACCACAATTCAGAACACCCAAACCCCAACCATTTCAGAAAAGATCGTTTCTAATCAATCAAATCAAACCTGGAGGTTTGATTCCCGGCGAAACCGATTTAGGCTCCGGCCTTATTAAGCAACTTGTGCACCACTGAGTCGCGGGGATTATCATGTATGGAACAGCCACTGGAGGCTGTCATCCTGTGTGAACGTAACGCTACGTGTTGTCGACCACATCTCGCGGTGTGCGGTGACGTGTGCGGCGCAAACAGCACGACCAGCCAGCGGCCGTGACTGTAATGTTAAGTCGTGTTTAATATTGAACGCGCCGACTATGTCGCATCGATTTTTGACGCAAATCAATTTAACACATTAATTATAAAACAATGCATTTAATTAGTATGAGTAATCATCTCTTTTTATGGCTGTAATTATTTAAACAAATAACTGGTAAATTGATAAACCTGTTATAATTGTAAATAAATATATTTTGTTATTTTTGCATCATATATGTTATGCTTTTTACAAATCCTATAAACCCCATAAATAATTTCTCCTTTCGGGTTCTCAAGTTTGGCTGGAAGAAATACCTTCAAGGGAAAAATTTGATATACATTCGTTTTACTTGGACATTTCTCAATATAAAAATTATATTAAAATTCTAAATGACCGTTGATTACGTTCATCTATTATTGATATTGAGCACAGGTCACCTCTGTGGGAAACTAATTTAAAGCAATAAACCCTCTTTATTAAATTTGTTACAGATTTCATAATCATCACCAATGGCATTAAAAAAAAAAAACACAATAATATCAAATGCTAACATTTTATCAATGCATTTGAGTTTGATGCTTCCGTATGCATTGCATGTAGAGACATGCAGGGACAGAGTACATTGTTGTGAAGGTGCAGTGTCGGGGGAGGGGTTGTTAGTCTCCATTGCTATCAATATCAATCAGGTCGACCTCCACGCGGTTTCCCCTGAAAAGCATCGTGACTAATTTATCGTTAAATTCGTCACGATGGGCTAACTGACCTGCCTTTTCATTCTCACTTATCATCTCTCATTGGTGCCTCGCTAGTGTATACCGATAGCGCAGGTGGGGGTTACCATTCCATTATCATCCATTAAAAAAAAAGTGCAGCGTCAGTGAGGGCAGGCGTCTGCGTCTACTGGAGGCGTCGCATGCTGCAATGGCCCGCTTGACCCGGTTCGCGCGCTGATAACACAGATCCGGTTTAAGTTCTTTCCGCATTCATGCGCGTGCCGTTTACAAGTATTTTCTTAATTTTATAGGCGCAATAAGATTCATACGTTGGGTATAGACAGTTGGGTTTTTATATAAGTATCGCTAACATCGTTTTATAATGATTTGCCGTGTCTTCATTTCCCGTGGGTGTCGTAAGAGGCGACTAGGGGATCTTTATGGTCGAGGGATGGGCAGCAGCGTTCCTTTTAAAACATCACCAAAGCCTAACTGTGGCTGCTAATAAATCATTTAAATTTATTAATAAATAAAAATAAAACCTAAATAAAAATAAAATAAATGCTAAAAAGCCTGACAAACGTAGCAACTATTGGCAAATATATCCAATCGCTGTACATCTTTTTTACAATTGTAATAGAGAATATATCGTTAAATTCCTTTTCCTTTTATCGTTAAATTCCTGTTAGTAATGTACCCTTCCGTCATGTTAGTCTTTATGCGTTTCTCCGCGCGTCTTCCCTAGTCATCACGTCACGGTTTATTTTATTTTTGTCTATAAAAATAAGTATGGGGATCTCCCTCTTATGCGGAACTACCCATTAAAAATCCTACTTTCACCGGCCACTTGTAATATGGGAGGGGGGTGGCGGGTTTGAAGTAACAGTTAGTTGTTTGGTTTGCTCAGTGGTGAGGCGTGGCAGTCCCCACACGATGTGGAGCCGGAGAAAGGACACAACGTGTCACCACTTCTTTTCATCATGTAGATATTGAAGCGGGCGATAAAGAGAACAGCATTACAGCGAGACGATGCAAAAGAAGTAAAACTTGATACAAAATAATCCAATGTGGTAATATCCTTTTCTCATGGGAAGACACCGGTGTGCAGTAGTGCACATAATGTTGATGGGCTGTATGAGTGCAGATTTAACATACTAAAAATTATATGTATAAACAAAGATTCAGAACTAATAGCTGCACTCTATGAATATGGTTAAACCATAGGGGTTTTGTGAATTTATAGTTTCTTAGATAAAATTCGTAATTATTGTACATAAAATATATAATAAAAACAAATTAATGTAAAATTAATTCTCGGTATAATCGTATTATTATACGAAAGGGATTAATATAATACTTGGATTATTTTACAAGTTGTAAACATGCCGCAAATGCTACAGTGGCATAGTTTAGTTGAACATGCCACGTTGTGTAACACGACACCGCGCGTATGCTGCAAGTTATAAACCACAAAGATTTTTCTCCTCTGATAATAAAATACCAAAAATAAACTACATATTTTGAAATTAATGAATAATCTGTAATGCACAGCATGACTTACGACAATAACTAGCTACGGTTTATCTCTTTGCCTGTCACCCTACTGTTATATCACGATCCCCAGGGAGTTTCGGGAAATTCTTTATTATTACATCCTACGTCAAATAAGAAACCGGAAAAGGAGAGGAAATTTTAGATATTTTATATATATAAAACATCTAAAATTTTCTTCAATTCGTCTGCAATTCTTATACATGTTACGTGAAACTTGGCTAATTGGGAATCGACTTAGTTCAAATAGACAATAATAAAAGTTACACAAAACAACACCGTGACTTCCAAATTACTGTCATTGTATGTATTGATAACATCAAAACAGGACTTAGTTCCGGATCTCAATAAAATATTGGTAAACTGCTTTTTCACTGTATATAGATTACTTTGAAATGTTAAGCTGTTTATCATACGATTATTTATTATACTTAACTAACCAATAGATCAGATATTACTTTATCAACAGTAAAATAGTAACAATAATAAAAAAAGCAGTTAATACTATGCGGATATTTTGCAACGTGTATATACTCGTATATATAGCATTGGTCATTAATCGTGACGATACTTCCGTATAAAGACTATTTATTTAACTTCTTATTGCACCATAAACAAAAATATACAATGACAATTGAATAATTCAAGTGAAATACAGTGACATAAATACTGATTAAAATATATACATAAAGGTACAAAAGGCGGTCTTATCGCTAGGGCAACCTTTAACCAAAGGTTGTCTGTAAGACAACTGAAAGACTGTCAGTTTGAAACTACAGTTTCATCAGCAGTCAATGATAGTCTTTTTCAACTAATTTCTTTACAATACGACTTCATTTTTACCGACACAAATGTATGTTAAACAGTACCTTCACCAATGTTTAACCTATTTTGAATATTATATCTTTAATCTACACTACGTTCGTTACATAGCAATTTTTTTTAAGAATGCAACAGTATTTACAATAACTTTATGTAAAACAGCATAGATAGAGAAAATATAGTATTTGTAACGAAATAGGTTTAATATTATTCGTGGTTAACATACCACAGCAATGGTTTAGTCTGTACTCGTATTTCTACTCTTTAAAGGCAAGGATCAATATAAAAAAAAAAGTCTAAAGCGTGTATAAAGTGGCCAAATAGATCTATGCAATTATCAAACTGTTTAATAGGTGAAATAGAAATATAGAAGGCGCAGCAACATGGCGCAGTGTTCATCACTTGACTCCCGTGACCCGTGCGTATTCGAACGCAGCTCGTGGCGCATCGCGTATGTAACACAACTGCGCCTGCGCACATCTAAGATTATCGCTAAGCAAGTGTGGTGTGGTATATTCATAATCATACTAGCTTATCTAAGATCATAACACATCTATAAGTGACATACGTTTACGAGTAAACGTATGTCGCTTGTAGATGTGTTCTAAAATTGTGATTCTTTTGTAAAAAATTAATAAGAACTTAAAATCACAAAATCGTCACAATGAATGTTTCAGACCTTGTAGTATCCAACCATTGCATTATCAATACTACTCTGACTCCTTAGACAAGTAGAAAACGGATTATTAGTGGATACGTTCTCGATACTGCTTGCATGAGAAAGAACAAGACGCCAGACATCTGTGTCATTTTACCTCATGCACAAGGCTGGCAAAACGTATCTATGAGTATTTAACGATAAATTTATTTGCTATTTCTTCAGGTCTCTAAAACCATCAAGGTAAATGCATCCTTGGCTAATGCCGATTATATAAATTTGGAGGAAAAAAAGTATTGTTAGTAATGAGATCAAATTGCGTCATTGCTAGCAATATACTCTATCAAGTTGACATCCTCGCGGTTCCCCCTGGAAACCACCGTGATTGATTTACTATTAAATTTGACACGATGGGCCAACTGACCTGCTTCATCTTCACCTATCATCTCTCACTGATGCTCCGCCAGTGTATACCGATAGCGCAGGCGGGGTTATCATTGCATTATCATCCATTAGACTATATAAATTCATAATACAGTACTGACCTGTATCCGGTGAGTATGTTGAGCAGCGTGGACTTGCCCGCGCCGGAGGGGCCCATGATGGCGGTGAGCTCGCCGGAGCGCAGCCGCCCCGACACCGACTTAAGGATAATCTTCTCATCTGTACACAAAATATTGCGATTACCACGTGCAATCATATCTCTTAGGGGGGAAAGGGATTGTTAGTAATGGGGTCAAATAGCCCCATTACTAGCAATATACCCTGTCAGGTCGAGCTCCACGTGGTTCCCCCTGGAAACCATCGTGGCTAATTCTAGTTGAATTCGTCAGGATGAGCTAACTGACCTGCTTTCATCCTCGTTAGTAGTCTATCACTGGTGACCCGCCATTGTATACCGATAGCGCAGACGGGGTTACCATACCATTTTCACCCATTAAAAAAAAAGCGTATCTCTTACATCAACTGTATTGGTGCGTTCACAAAACAGAAGGACCATATCGTCACAGTCGTAGAATACTGACGGATCTGACGAATATTACATATAAAGATCCGTCAGTATTCTACCACTATGACGAATGTTGTACAAAGTGATCTGTGATTAATAACTGTTAGAAGATAGGCTTGGACAATCCTAAAGAGACGGATAAACATGCAACGAGTGTAGGTAGAGAATCTAAAACTCATAAATCATAATTATACTGAGTGGAATTGAAACCTTTACCTACTTAATCTCGAATCATCTATACTAACTTGACAGTCAATTGCTTGAGTACCTCTGTCGCATTCGTGTTTCAACCATGAAGCAGTTGTGTTTGCATAGCTGTGTTTCGGTTTGAAGGGTGGGATATGGCGTGAAATTACTGAGTACAGAGAAATAACACCTGAGTCCTCAGGAATGGCAACGCATGGGGGGTATCATGGGCGAAACATTATACCCTGTTATGTCCATGGTACTGCACATGTCTATAGGCGACGGTTACCACTTTCCATCAGGTGGACCGTCAGCTTGTTTGCTATTCTAAGTTGTATGAAAAAAAAAGCTAGATCCGCAGTATTAATAAGGCAGGTTCAAAATATTATAATTTTTTTCCGTACATTTGTGTGAATGAAATGCTCAGTTTTACTGATAAAGACTCTAAACAGGACGCTAATGACTTCGATTACATTCTGCGTAATTATTATATTTGAGGTATAGGTGCGCTGGTGTCAAGGAGCATGTACATAATTACTGGTAACACAAACCCATACTAGTATATTTCTATTGTGAATTTAATGAAATGTTTATAAAGTTTTCTTGAAGTTATCACAGAAACACTCTCTAAATGAAATTACAAACACATCTAACATTAAATCAATTAATAAATTTTTAATAAGGACGTGTAAATTATTTGTTTACATTTACATAATTTTTTTTATACAACTTAGAATGGCAAACAAGCTGACAGCCCACCTGATAAGAAGTGGTAACCGTCGCCTATAGATATGAGCAGTACCATGGACATAACAGAGTATACTGTTTCGCCCATGACACTCCCCATGCGTTGCCATTTCAGAGAACTCAGGTATTATTTCTTTGTACCTTGTAAATTCCCTGTCATATCCCACCCTTCAAACTAAAACACAGCTATGCAAACACAACTGCTTCACGGTAGAAACACGAATGGGACAGAGGTATCCAAGCAAACGACTTTTGTATAAAGTCTCCGTCTCTCCATTTGTTTTAGACAACATGTAGGATGTGGGTATCTATTATAGTAAGTATGTATTATAATTATATTGTATAGTAGTCAACGCATTATGTACGGATACGCAGCGAAGCCGATATCAAAATCCTTTGTGCAAATTAATGTTACTCATCGCCCGGGACAAACTCCACTGTACAGTGTGCCGCGTCGCTTTGTTCATACATATCATATAATTGTTGTACAATATATTTTAGTCAAAATATGATCAAATCACAGATGGTTCAAATTTTTGTTATGCACGTATATTAGATGCGAGTATTTGTGTTCGAGGTCACAATTTTGACATGTACGATCTTATACGAACTTAGTTTAGTTTAAATAGGCCTTATAATGTTCGCTGAACTTATTAACATTATTGGTTCATTGTATTTAGGTATTTATATACATTATATACTATAGCTATGTTGTCCCAGCATAGAATAGGCTACCCTTTCCTTTCCCGTGGATGTCGTAAGAGGCAACTGGGCAGCGTCCCTCTGAAAACATCTCCAAAGCCTAACTGCGGTTGCTAATCCGCGTGCCAAGCGGGGCAACTACTAGCAATACCTCGCAAGGGAGAGGCTTGTGGTCAGCAGTGGACAGTTAAAGGCTGATATGATGATGATGATTTGACATGACATGACATGACATGCAACATCATTTTAGCCTTAGCCCCTAGTTTAAATTTGAAATTACTGAAAATTTGAATTATAGACGTAATATGGTGCAATATGGTGCTTTTAACAACGGCGTCTCTTTTCTCGGTCCATCTCTACATACACCCATCGACATTTGGATGACGTGCAGCGACTTCATTTGCTTCTATGGCATACGTTATATTGAAAATATCAGACTGTACCTTGTTCATGGAGAACTGGTGACTGTACTGTGAGCACCATTGTGTCATTTTTCGATTGTTTGTAAATTTTTATAGCATAGCTACTGAATCGTCATACATCGCATTAGTATTTCATCAAATAGGCATAGATATTAGTTTTAAGAATATTCCATGTTGATTAATTTTATGCGTAATTAAGATTTTATTATTAAGCGAATCTTTAAAGTAGAGAGATTTGTTAAGAGATGTGTTTATTTTATTACACTTTATTGGGAAAACAAATGTGTTCCTCAAATTTCGTATTTATTAATGCAATTAGAGTCAACTCTCGTGTTATAACCATACTATAGTTTATTTCACGAATAATGTCGGTTTTTTTTTAATTTGCAAAACCAAATCTATTTGTATTACAAATTAAAGGTGTCATATAAAGTGCTAAACAATACCTGTTTAATTGACATCTTTAGTAAATTAAGTACATATCAATCATCGGCCATCAAATATAATATTCACATGGAAAACTATCGGGTAAACAATTAGGTAGGAACTGTAAAACTTCAGCAAAATAGAATAATTGTTTTTGTGTTTATTCATGGCTGTCACGTCATGCATACTATTAGACATTTGATTTTCAATTTAAATAAATACAATTTTGTAAGAGCATATCAAAATAATAATTTTGGATAATAAGAAATCAAAATGTAATCGTAGAGGTACCTTTAGTAATTTATATACAGAAATATCTTCAGAATCGTCAACCAGGAAGAAGTAAATACTTCCTCCGTCTGAGTGATAATGTCACATATCATTGGTGGGTTACTGACCTTTGTACTCGTCGTTACACTCACGACCAATTTCTTTGTTTTCATTTAAGTTAATTTTAAAATAATAATTTTCCGCGATCTGACGAAGTACGAATACAATGTGTCATTGCTCGTTTTCAAAACAAGATATCGAAAGAGACGTCTTAGAGAACAAATCACTTGCGCGCAAGAGGGAAAGGTCGAAATAAAAAAATATGTTAAGTCATCTAGTCAGCACGATAATAATAAACATATAAGGAGAGACTCGTGTCTAGTAGCGGGATGATGATAGGTTGTAATGAAATATGATATACAGAATAAAAAAAAAATACTCGTTTATAAAAGTGTAAATGGGAAAAATATGATAAAATTAGAGTAGGTAGTATAGTTATTGAAACAAAATCAAATGAAAAACATTGAGTCACCCGACACAGATAAAACATGTTTAGACAGTAAATTATTTGTAATTGTAGCGGCAATACATCGGGTAACAAATAAACGCTAAATAATACGGAAGATCACCGGTGCAAAATTCCTAATTATAAATTGCTGTTGTATTAAAAAAGCATATAAAAAGAAAAGACCACTATAACAACAAGAACAATGTATTTGTTAAATTAACAATTCTTTGTTCTTGATTAACTTAATAGAAATAAATAAATTACGTGTATAAATGAAATTTCGTAAAAGAAAGTTCAGTGGTGTAACATATATGGTGTAACACTGCAAGGTAGAGTGAGAAATACAGAAGTTTGAATTGAAAAAGATCGAAAAGGAGATGTTGTGTCGGTTTGGGTTTCGTGGAAAGGATGGATGAAAAAAGAATTATGAAGAAGAAAGAGATATATCAAGCATGAATAAGAAGAGTAGCAGGGACAATAGGGGATAAGTTAGACGAAAGTACAGCATCGACCAAATAATTGAAGTGTTGAAAAAGGACCAAGTTAAAAAAAATCCGTAACCGATGAGCTTGTACGAATATGGACGAATGTAGACGAATGTTTGAATTTGGTATAAAGAGCAGTTGGCATTTGCCATTGTTTCTGTATACTCCATTGGGAGATAGGTGTGATGTATACGCATTTATGTATCAACTTTCACATCACTTAGAGTTGTTATAACTAATAAATAAAACGAAGTACTTACCTAACCTAATTGTTTAGTTGGAAGCGGGGAACCAGTGCGGTTGGAAATTAATGCAATCGGGGGCATCGTTATGTAAATGTAACTCGGCCGTTAACAATTCTGTATTGGAACTGATTGAAGTCGACAGTTTTGCCATTAGGGATGCAGCATTTGACAATTTTAGTCACAAAATTATATAACAGCTTGTGTATGTGCAAGCAGATTTATAATTTTGCAACTAAAAATTTTTTTTATGCAACTTAGATGATAAACCCATGCGTTGCCATTCCTGAGGAATCAGGTGTTTCCTCAGTACCCTGTAAATTCACTGTTATATTCCACCCTTCAAACCGAAAAAATAGCCATGTAAACACAACTGCTTCACGCTAGAAACACAATGGGACAGAGGTGCCAAGCGAACGACTTTTGTATTAAGTCTCCCTCTGGTATGTATTATTATCACAAGCTCTATATTTTTACCAACTACCAGATTCTTTCTACTGTAAAGGAGACATTATATCCTTAAAAAAACCTTTGGGTAGAGGTTTTACCCAACGGTTATCTGAAAAAGATTAGCGATAAGACCGCCTTTTGTATTTTATTATTGTAACATATATTTTGTAAATTTTCGCTTTTTATTGTTGGTGCAATAAAAAGCTAAAATTTTCA